TTCTTGGCAGCTGGCAGCTTTTTCGGTTTCCTAATTGTAGAGCGGACATATTATTTAAGATTACTAAAGAATAGTAAAACCTCGTCCTAAATGGCAATTTGCTTTAAAAATTTGGAACCATCTTTAAAAAATTGGCGTTTAAGCGCTACTGTAAATTTGAAATTTAAAGATCTTTTTCACAGAAAATTTTAGAATTTTCGAAAAACTTCATTATAAATAATTTAAAGTACTTTAACTTGCAAATACAATAGTGTTTACAAATTGCTGGAAATGTGCATATGAACGGCGAAAGAGATCTTTCCAGAATATGACATTTGTGTCATTTTTTAAAAAAACAATAAAATGTCCCGTAATGAACTTTACGTCATATTAAAGAATGCAATTAGTACTATCCTTTCGAAAAATTTGAAAACAAAATTTGGAGCCGAATTTGAGAGAATGATATTTGAGAGTTTCAGAAATTGCGAAATTTTGAGCGAGTTACGACAGAAAACGGTAGAGGTTTCGTGAAGGTTTATATGATATTATTTAAGCACATGCACTCATAAATATAATAATGTGAACATATTGCCGCTAATGTAAATATTAACGATATGGGAGACAAGTCAATATAATTACATTTTTGAATTTTTTGAAAAATCTAAAGGAATAAAGCAATATGGCGTTAATGTCACTTCATAAAGCGCACTTAGTACAATCCCAACCAAACATTTAAAGAAAAAATTTTGGAGCCGTGTTTGAGAAAATTTTGAAAATGTCCCAAGGGCTTCATATAAAGTATTCCCAAAAACTAATTAATGAGTTTCAAAATCGCAGAGCTTCCACTCTGACCAAATGGATAGGGGTTCTTCAATTATGAAAAAAATCCTACGCATGGTTTAGGTGCTAGTGTTGTTCACATACACCAAACGGGCGGATGGACGTTTTGAAAAAAAAACCCTTTTCGGTATCAGGGGGCCCCAAAACGTGTATTTCCATTGAAATCTCGAAATCGATTTTCCGCAGTATTATATTACTTTCCCTATATAACATATAGTACTCCGTATATACGTACATATACGGGAAAGTAAAAAGTGTTTATGAAAATGCTGATTACTATCTAAGCCTTATGAAAACTAACAAAACTACTGGAATGCACAAAAATGTTAGCATACCTTCAGTGTGAACTAATGTCAGATTAGTAGGATATAAGTTACAAAATCTCTCACATAGTAATTCGTAATAGTTACCAACAATACGAGAATGTATGTACTTTTTTAGAAGAACCAGTTCTCAGTAATCTGAGGCTGGGTTTTGCGAGTATATGATGGGTGCGTGCCATATCCCAAGCTGGACTGTACTTTCGCAACGACGTGCATGAAGGCTGATTGAATTTAAAAGAATTCTGAATGCGTAGCAAAAATAACTTATTTTCATGTTTAATTAATGTAGCTGTCAATGATAATATTCCCTTCCTCATCCGTGTCCCCTCCTCTTCCCTTACTCACACACACATGCATGCATACATCAAGCAAGCATGCATACGTACATTCACTTGCATTAATTGGACTACACCACAGGTCGGAAAACCAATCATGAACTTAAGAGCTTGAGGCAGTCTCGTTGGTGGAGATACCTAGAAGGAAAACTCTACTAGACAAGTGGATAAATCCAGTTTCTAAATTCAGGAAAAAAATCCTCTAACGCGCGATGTAGTCAGAACCCATGTTTTGAGGGTCCTTGATACCGAAAAATCGATTGACGGCAAACCGTCTGCCCATTTGTCGGTTAACAACGCTAGCGGCTGAACTGTTCAGTCAATTTTCTCCAAAAGCGATATTTGCCAATTGATCTGGGTGATGACACGGCTCCTTGAAATTGAAACCGTTATTTTTATTCTAGGGGTACTTTACATAAATCTCCACGCACATTTTCAAAATTTTCAAGAAAATGGCTTCATTGTTTTTTATTAAATTTTGTGCTAGATAGTGAAAAGAACGTTAAAGAGATTGGTTCAGATATCATGTTGGGTGAAAACCCTAATTTTCCGAAAATTGAGAAAGTTCAAAGTTTTGTCGGCCTCTCCCTACAACTAAAATATTAAAGAAAGAAATTTATTCTCTTGACGAAAATTGTTCCTTACAGATAGGTTTTGAAATAGGTCATAAGCAGTTTTTCTAATTTTGAGTATTTTTTACGCACTTATGCGGGAAATGATGGATTTTTTTAATTTTATTTAAACAATTTTTCTCAAAAAAGTTCCATCGTTTTTTATGAAATGTTGTGTCTGGATAGTCTGGAGTTTACGAGAATAGTGCAGATCTGCTGTTCGTTAAAATGCCTAATTTTTCGAAAATTAAAAAAAAATCGGCTCTTCCTACAACTACAATTGTGAAGAAACATTTCCTTCTTAATGAAATTACTTTTAATATTATTTAATCATTAAATCTATATTAAATTGAGTCCTTTAATTGAGTTAAATGTGAAAAGCGTTTGTCCGCGTTAATATGAACTAATATTTTTATTTTCAGCCAAAATACGCATCGCGCATCGTTGGTACTTTTCTGTACAACGTGAATACACTGGATTCAATGGCAGAAAGATGTTTTCGTTTAAACATTTGAATTAACTAGTAGTGCTACAAATGGCACATACTTTCTCGTACTAGTTAGTTTTCTCATTTCTTTTGGTTCCAGCTAGTTCTTCGGTCTTACCCCATCGTCTTGCCAGCTGCCATCTATCGCCGCCCAGTGTACTTGTTTTAAATTTTCTCAATAGTTCGACTTCCTAATAATAGAGCCGAAATATTACTTTAGGAATATGAAAGAAGACTAAAACTTCGTCCCTCCCAAGGGAAATTTTTGTTGAAAAATTTGGAGATTTTTTGAGTTCCTTGAAGCGTAACTGTAAATGCGAAATTTGAAGCTCTTTTTCACAGAAATATTTTGAGTTTGGGAATATCTTCATTAAAAGTCATTTGAAGTCCTTCTATTCAAAAATACGATATTTATTTCACAGTTTTACATAGTTAAAATAGCACCATACCCAACAATTGTAATACTTTATATAATTTTGATTTTATTTTCTCTTCATAATCCTTGTCTACTATATTCTTCTCTTTCAAAAGTCCATCAGTTTCTCTCAACCAGCTATTTTTAGGTCTTTCTCTTCTTTCTCTTTCTACCCATAGGATATAACTCTAAAATTATTTTTTGAATTATATTTTCTTTCATTCTTTTAACATGTCCAAACCATTGTAATTGTTTATATTGGATAGTTTCTACAATTGTATGAACTTTATTCGTATTTTCTCTAATTTTTTTAAATTTATTCTTTTATCTAATGTTGATATGCCGGATGATCTTTTTAAAAAATCCATTTCTGTCGCCAGTAATTTTAGTTTTAAATATTTATTTAACAATAACTTTTTCGCTGTTTCTGAAAAATCTGATTTGAAGGGGTATGTTATTTGCCTGAACACTCCTTATATGTCAACCGCAAAGGCCGAAAGGCGCAACCTCACTGTATCATTGGCCATGCGTAACGTAGCGTCACCTCGTCTTTAAAGTTTGACATTATAAATTTACTAAACCATTCCACTCACGCTAGTGCGGCACGCTCTCGTCATTTCCCATATTCTCTCGCGGAAGCGAGTCAATTCTGTCTCGTTCGTTACGTTAAGGGAAAAGAACCCATTTTCTCCCTCCCGCCCTTCTTGGATGAGGATCCTAAGCAACTGTTTATTTGGCTTCTCTGTAAATACGACACTGATTATTCTCTGCAAGTATGCATACCATACACGAACTGGATACGAAAGCTTACCTTTACGCCGCGATGCACTTACGAGTAATATTCCACAATTCCCAACCTTGACAATACATATCGTGATGCAAATTGCTTGCTTTTCTGTGATCACCAGGACTCGGATTCTGATGGTATGTTATCTTTTCATTGGTGCATTCTAGACGCAGCTAACTTGTAAATGAATGTTTATCGTGGCATATAAGTGATAGAAATGTATAGTTATTGGGTCATTTTTTGAATTTATTTTTATTTAGCGCATTTTTGTGGACTTTTGCGCCATTTCTTTCCTTTTCGTGGTTTTTGTTAGTGAATGTTTCATGAATTTACGACACACTAAAGCAAAGTTTTTTATATCATCGATTCATGACGAAATTGAGTAACTTCCTGCTTCGGTAACTTCCTAGATCTTACAAAACTGAGGGTTGGAAGATCATTTCCTCCTAAAATAGTCTTTATATTAAATATAATTTATATGAATAACTTGTATTTAAAATTGTAAAAGTTATTGAATTTTTTTCATACAATCTTTTTAGAATATTTTTTAAAAAATTGATTTTTTCTTCTTATTTTTAACTCATTTTCCTCTTATTTTTTTAGTCATGTTATAGATCATTGTCAAAGAATTTTTAGGTCATTGGAATCCGAACCCTGGTGATCACAGATTGTTAAGTTAATAACGAGTGTATGGAGTTAACGGGAATAAATTTTTATGGGAATAAAAGGCATTTCGACGCGATATTTGAGAGAAAATGTAATCTAACAACAAAAGCTATCAAGATTTTGATTTTAAAAAACGTACCATACCTAAACATCTTATCTTCTTTTACCTATAATTTCAATAGCGTAAGTGTACTAAATTTTCGATAATGTGTTCAATTCAAATAAAATGAGAGTACTTTGGATGTATGATTAAGTGGATTTTGTGATTTCGATTTAGATACTTCATGTCTGACACTACTATGCTCTTGAAAAGGATGCCAAGAAGTGAAAATAGCGTCAGACTTCTCTTGTTATTCAAAACTGCCAAACTTGTATACGATTTCTTAATTTGGCTGCATTCAAGTGAATACATTTCTTCCAAAAATTGTGCATGATACCTTAATATTACTACTAACAATTCATAAACAAGTTTTAATTTGTTTTTAGAGAGTGATTTCAAAAAAATCAATAAATATAAATTTATGCATCATGTTGGTAGCATTTCTCGCGTAGACGCCACCTGTAGATGCGTGATAAAGTTTTGACGTTTCTATTCTCTGTACTAGAGAATTTGACATTCTGAAGTTTTTTTCAGTAGTTTCATATTGAATAAGAATGAATGTACAGTACCGTTTGAAAATCGCCTCCTTAATTAATAAGAATTGTGCTTTTTTAAAGTACATGTTGCGATCGTGATATAAAAAAATATTTAAACCTAACCCGAGGAATTTGTACATAATACTGTAACTATTTTAACATTAGCAGAAAAGTGCCTTTTTTCAAATGAAGTTGGTGATAAATTAGTCTAAAAGTAATTTACGAGTTTTCAATAATTTTTTTAACTCAGATATAGCACATTTTATCTGTTTTCAATTTCTTCTTGGTATTACAGTCTAGCAGTACAAGAATGGAGCCATCAAGATCTGTGTCAAATGGTAGCACAGATGACACGGCTCCAGACGTTCTTCTCAGGCAAAACCAAGACTTGCGACGAAGATTGGAAGATGAGGCAGCAAGTTATAAAAGACGTCTAGAAACCTATCGTCAAGCACAGCAGCATCAAGCTGCTTTAGTCAGTAGACTGCAGGCTAAGGTAAAGTAATAGCTTTTAAGGTCTATTAATTGTTCAGTTTCTGTGCAAGTAGTCATTTCAATTATATTGAATTGCATTATTCTGTTGTTTAAATGGAAAAATTCCTGTGTCTTGCAGGTTCTACAATATAAACAACGGTGTTCAGAATTAGAGGGTCAGATTGCTGAAAGTGTTCCAGAACCTCCTCTTAGAGGAACCACTACCTTGTCTGGCCCTCCTCCCTCATCTCTTGGCTCAGCATCACTGGGTCGAGAGATGAGGGAGGAGCACATTCAAGATTTAGAGACAGCTTTACGTAGGTTAGATGATGAGAGAAAGAAGTAAGTTTTCTCATTTTTGCACTTTCAAGAATTTGTTTATATTAAAGTTAAAATATCTGTTGTGCGTCATTTTGTCATATACTATTTTTGATGTTTTGCAACATATAGATGTGAAAAAATTATGCAACATAATGCAACGTTGCGTGATCAGCTAGAAGAGTGTCAGCAAACCAATGAAGCATTAACATCAGACTTGCAGAAACTAACAAATGAATGGGAGCAGCTTCAAGAAGAGATGATATTAAAAGAAGATGAATGGAAGGAGGAAGCTCAGGTATAATAGGGCAATTATTACATTTTCAAGTGAAAGGCATGCATTGTTTGTGTACCAAGAGAGCACTATGATTGTTGCAGGCATTTACTGATTACTATACTTCAGAACATAATCGTTTATTGAATCTATGGAAGAATGTAGTATCAGTTAAAAGAATGTTCTCAGAAATGCAGTCTTCAACAGAACGTGATTTGTCAAAAATTCGTTTCGAAATGTCAAATACTTCAAGAGATATGTCTAATGCATGTCATATGATGATCAGCAGTATGCAACAAACCTCTAAAACTGGAGTAAGTATTTGTGTACATCTAAGACAACTATGTTTTTAAAAGGATGTTCTGTTACAGTCCTTGTTTCGCAGGAACAACAACAACTCCATAAAGAACAGGAAGCTGCTGAGCTGAGAGCACAAATTTATTCTCTAAAAGTACAGCATGAAACAACTGTTTCAGAAGTCCGTCAGAAAGAAGACAGAATACAACAGCTTTTAAGAGAAGTTCAAGCCTTAGTAAGTTATTGATCTCAATTTTTTTAACATGAACTGCCCAATGTAACTTGACAGTTTTGATACTTACATTTAAAGCATTTAAATTACTGTATAATCCTAAATTAGAAAACCTGTACATTTGAAAAATTTACCAGGAAGTTAATCAACTGAAAAATCAAACCACACAAAATTTGTATTGACTTGTTGTAGGAAGAGCGATGTGGAGAGGCTGAGCAAGGAGTTGGGCAAGTTATTAGAATGCAGGAAGAAATTGAACTCCTCCAGACAGCATTGCGTGACATTGCACATGCTGTAATTCAAGATGCTGAAAGCCGAGAGACAGATGCAGCAGCCTCTGCTCACTCTGCTTCTCATGTTCACTTATCACCTCAAGGAACTGTCCCTCCCAGGTTTTTACTTTACACAAAGACATTTTATTAATTTATCATATACATGTTAATATATGCCAGTAGCGAAAATTCTTAACGAAGCTCTGTAAAGTCAAACAAGTTACGCATCTCGAGACACCACAGATTCTTGTTTGGGGGATAAGTTAGGAACCCTGGATACTAACAGCAATGAGCCTTTGGCTGATAGGTAAAAGGCAATAACTTATGACTTGGCTTGACATACAACTAAGTTGAAGGAGAATTACTCCACAATCAATAGCAACACAAGTTGCAGAATGTATGTAACTAACTTGTCAAAGAATTGTCTTGTGAATTAATATAAGATTTTTTAATTAGATTAGAAAGATACAACCAAATTGCCACTTCCCCTCTAGGAGATGATTTTACCTTACCTTGCCTCAAACCATGGAGCAGAAGAGGCAGTATTTAATAGTTTCTTCCTATGCTTCACCTTCCCCAATATTTCATCTGTCCCCTATTATCAATGAAAAATATAAAATTACTGAAAAACCTATTTTTGAAGGTTAGGACAAAAATGGCCAGTTCTCTACCTGTGGACTAAGACACTTTGTCTTCACTTACCCTAAATGGTGAACTGACGGGGGTCTAAATAAATGACAATTACTTCCAATGATTCCATCTCCTCATCTAATTATATATTAATAACAAAAACAATAATAATCATATTGTTTTCTAAGAATACCGAAAAAGTGACTAGTTCCTCATCAGCAGAGCAAGACACATCACATGAGACCTTGCTTGCCCTAAACAGTGGATTGAAAGGGGTTTAACCATGTGTGAGAAACAGATGAATACTTGCATGGTACTCATTATATGTAGGATGAAATGCACTTGAATGCATGAATTAATATTAATTTGTGATATTTAATTATTTGAATTATTCACCCTCCATGTTTTACCGGAATAAAGATATATGAAATTTAGAAGATATATGGTCCTTATAGAAATATTTTCCAAAATTCATATAAATACTTATTTTTTCATTACAATTACATTGATGCTTTAATAAATGCTTTCTTTTTTGTAGAGTACTATATAAACACTCCATTGATGAGAAAGCATAACTCTTGCCATTGAAACCTTTGACATTATTCACTGAACTGTTTTCAAATTTTTGTTTTGTTTCTTATGCCTTTAAGTAGTAGAAGTAGTAGCAGTAGTTCGTTTTTTCTCCTAAAATCCTTTAGCATACTATCTGTTGGTAAAAGGTTCTTTATCTAGATAAATTATGAACCTTTTTGTGGTCAGCTTTCAATGTTTAAATACAAATGTTTTATTATAGAGAGTAGTTAGCCATTCCTTCTTTAACTTAAGCTGAAGCAACAACCAGAGTTGATATATGCAATCTTGCTTCTATCTATGCTTGCTGCACAAGCCCAATATTTTAATGGCCTATGATTTATATTTCTTATGAATTTGTAATGAAATTTATTTGGATTTATGAGCAAGTGTTGGTAAAATTGAAGTGTCATACAAGCAACCCACCATTCTTGATGTGCAAATCACAAAACAGTTCACCAGGGATTGCTCATAGATTGTGAGCTTAAATGGATATGGAAACTGTGAGGATATCTGAATGCACAGATTATTCTCCCTAGCAAGGCCACCTGCTGATTGTGCTGTTGAAGGGGCTCTGAACTGAGAGCTTCAGTGCTAACAGTTTCTGCCAGTAGAGTGCATCCATAATCATTGTTATGTGCTAATGTTTAAAAGATTTGCCTTGTGGTAATGTGTATGATAGATCACGTATGTTTAAAAATGCAAATATCACACCTCCCCCCCCCCCCAAAAAAAAAATTAGATTTCATGACTAAGTTTTACTGCCTATCAGAAATAAAGTTTCAGACAAATGTTATTTTTGTTACTGAATTGAAATTTTCCCTATAAATAAGGAGTTCTTATTTAAAATTTCCAAGATCCTCCTGTCCCATCTCCAATCGTGTAGACCATTTTGGTTTTAGCACAGGTCACTCCCTCAACAAATTTAACTTTTTATTTCAATAATTTTTCTTCATAAAATGCACTTTGGGGGATTTTTCAAAGTCCCGACTTAAGTGGATCATCTGAATGTATTCATTGAAATTTATAATATAAATTAATGTAAATTTTAAAAATAAATAGCTCATGATCATTTGGTAATTAATAATTACATTTTAACATTTAAATTGTACGAAACATTTAACCCATTTTATCCCACAAAAATAAGTGCAAGACTTTCTTCCATGACCAGCAGTGCCCCTGGAAACAATATTTAATTAAAAGTAGTGGAGCATTGGTAAGTTAATTTGATAATTCAGACCTTATTCTAGTGAATGAAAGAAAATGTTCACTAGAAAGAAAATGTTCATTATTGGAAATACTGTACTATCAAAATGTAAAAGTACTTATAGGTAAGGGATGTACAAATGCTCATCTCAAGGGAAAGTGAAGATAAAGCGAAGTTTAGATGCAAGTTATTTTTAAAGATTGTTATAAATTAAAATGTTTCCTTGTTTTTGTTAGGTCACCAAAACGTGCTTTGAGGACCCCTACATCTCCAGCATTTGCTGAGAGTACCATTTCTGCTGTGCAAGCTGCTCTTCATAAATACCAGTTACAAATACATGAATTACAGGTGAATAATACTTTTAGCTACATTTTGCTACTGCATTTTTACATATTAAAAGGATAAAACAAGTAAATTTGTATGCATTACAAAATTGATGTTGGTTCTTTATCAGTAATACATTACTATTATTCTGAAATGCATGGCTTTTATGTTTATAGGTTAAACTTCAAGCTAGTAAAGAACAGCTAATTTTAGTTAGAAAACAATCGGAAATATTAGAAGAAACCCAACAAACACTGGAAGGAAAAGTGGCAGAATTAACGGGCCAGCTTGATGCATGCAAATCAAATTGCTCTCAGCTAATTCAAGATAAAGATGTTCTCCAGAAATCATTAGATTCTGTGAGAAGTGAAAAAAATGCTCTGGAAAAACATAGACTTGAAATAAATGCAGTAGTAGGTATCAACATTTATTTTGCTTTGTGATTGAAAGTGCTAGTTTTGTTAGTTATCACTTGTATATGAATTTCATTCCATTAAGTTCACATAAGATATCTCTACAACATTTTGGTTTCTGCCATTGAAATATATTCATTCACTTGAAATTTAAAATCTAGATTGAGACTCTGAACTCAGATTATGAAAAGCTGCAGAAATCAAGTGCAAGGCTTCAAAAGGTATGCGATAATCTGGAAGATGAAAAACTGTTCTTGCAAGCAGAACTTGAAAGAATGCAAAAAGATTCTGAAATAAGGTACAAAATTAATAAGTTTTGAAATTCTACACACTTTTATTATGTGTTGCAATTTTTTCTGCAGCAGTTGGATTATAAGATTATTTATTAGTTGGTGAAGAAGTGAATAATAAATAGTTCTGATGTTTAGAGAGATGAATTTAAGAGCTGAGGAAGACAGATGCAGTAGATTACGAGAAGAATTACTTACATTGCGAGAGGACTTAAACAAGGCTTATCTTGCTAGAGACATGTTAGAACAGCAGAAGATGGAAGCTGATAGCCTCATTAATCAAATGGAAAAGAGTAAAGGTATGAAATAGTTCCTCACTATCAAACATTATTAGCTGCCTTGACTTATGTTCGTTTTAATATTTTCATTTGTATTGGTAATGAGAATATTATGTTTATTGTATGCAAGTTAAAAATTGTGTTTCTCTTGTGGTATTTGTCAAATATTGTATTACATTATTTTAATTTATCTGAAGGTGATGTTGGTCTTGAACTGGAAAGAGTTCTTCTAGAAAAATCTGATATTCAGGAAGCTTTGGCAAAGTCGGAAACAGTGTGTTCAAGTCTTGAACAAGACAAAAAGAAACTCCAAGATGAACTTAAAAAGGTACAAATTATAGTAGTTAAGCAAAGCACTGGTATTGTAAATAGTCAAACATAATTCCTTTTCATTAACTATTTTTTTTAACCTTTTAATTGATCCCCCAAAATTAATTCTTTTAATTCAGACATACATACAAGCAGCCTCAAATTGTAACTCATAGTATCAAAGAGGCAACTTCTTCCTTCTTGTTAAACAAAAGTGAAATACACTGTTTCAAGCACTCAATCCAGTAGCTAAGGGCTCTTCGGCAGGCTTCATCTATCAGAAAGACTTCAGTTCAATGCACTTGCCATTAGCACTTAATGATAAAATACACCATCTTCCCATTCCCTGTTGTCATTTGTGTTAGCGCAGTTGCAAAATAAATGGAGTTCTATATGAGCAATTCTGATACTGGATTGTAATCAATTTTGCCTACAAAATAACAATCTTCAAAATTCTTAATTTATTGCTTCTAAATTGGCACAACGTGTTTGCAAGCCCCATAGTATAGAGAAAGTACACTGCAGTCAAAAACAGCAATTTTCGCAGCAAAACTCATTTTTTGGGTCACTTACTGAAAAAGGGAATAAAATTGTTTACAGTCAATAAAACTGTCCATCTGTATGTCTGTAAACTACACCAATGGCTAAATTGTCAGCAAGATTTTCACCAAAATTGATATTCCTTGATTCATCTAGCTGATATCACAGACCCCTGAATGAGAAATGCATGGTCTCAACAATTTTTTCCAAAATTTTCTCAAAAATGGTTCCAATTTTTTCTCTGAAATTTTTGGTACAGATAGTGCTGAAATTCAATGAATAACAAAATATTCTCAGGTCATTAATATTGTCATTGCATGCATATTTATACATTACAGCATTTGTGAATACAAATGCTTCAAATTATTTCTATGGAAAATTCTTGAAAACTCAAACTTTTTATTTGGAAATCAGCTCAAAATGGGGCATTTCAGAAATGCTCAAATGACCTTTTTTCCAAAATTGCTTCAAATTTTTCAATGAAAATAAACATGTACAACATGATTTTATTTTTCTATAATATTCTTAAAGTCGGTTCAATTCTAGTGTTAGGAAGCAGCAAAAATTAAGAAAATTTAAAAAAATAATTATTTTAGGTGTCAATAGATAACAACTTAAGTAAGGATGCAGCAAAACCAAAAAGGTAGATGAGATCATAGAGATTAGGGAACCAATAAGAACAAGAACAAGAAAGTCTGCCATTCTGTCGCACTGCTAGTTTTCCTGTAGCATGCATTGTGTTACATGTTTTTTCAAATTTTATATAGTATTAAATCTCTTTATCTGCTTTCAAAACTTTTTTTCTAAAATTACATACATTTCTTAACAAATTATTGTTCATTTTTCTTGTAGTAATTTAATTAAGATTAACTTTTCTACAATAGCTCCTCTGAGTGTTTATCAGTTTTATGAAGGCAAAATTGTATTATCAGTGGATCTCAGTGCTCAGAAGAGGAGTTGTTGTGGTTGCTGTAGAATATATACTAGCTGCACCATGTGTGAACATTACATTCCTAGCAAATCATTGAATTATACATGAAAATAACTTCATATTGGAATCTAACTTCGACTGCCAGCACCTTAACTATTAGCATTATAGACTAGGTACTGTGTGTTAATAAACATTTTAATCTGAAATTCTAAAGTCCTGTATCCTGAAATCCTCATATTACAAAGTCATATGTCTCAGAAATCCTCATGCCGTGAAGTCCTCAAATCTTTTATTGAAATTATTGGCTTAATATTTTGTTGAAGCTTTATTTGTAAGTGTAATTATATTATCATTCCTGAAATTCAATAACATTTTGCTAAATACCACTAGTGCACAAAAAATGTTCAGATAAATCTTTATTGATTGATTGACAGTTTCTCATGTACTCACGGTATTACTTATGAAATTCAAATAGTCACTTTAATTTCCTATGTAAAATTATTTGTCTCTATTCCTTCATATTAAAGTGTACATGATTTCAAGTGTCTATTCAACAACCAATGCTGAATTGATTATACCCAGAATAGCTAAATGAAAATTAATGTAAAAATAGGTCTGTTTTTGTAGAATCTATCTTAAGAAACTAATCTCGTGTCCTTGAAAGAATAAGAAAATCCAATTCTAAGCACCTAAAATGCTTTGTTTTCATGTTATGCACACGGTAAAGTGTTTTCTAGTAGAATGAGCTCCTGTTTTCACCCCTATTCCATAATCTACATTTTTCATCTTAAAATGGTTTAAGCTGGTCCCAGGGGCATGAAAAATGAAGATTGTTTAATTTATTGTTCTATAAGCAAATACAGGTTTTGGGTCTCTTGGTTAAATGGTACAAAACAATCTTTGTTCCTTTAAGTATTATACACAGAGAGAGATCTATTTTTGTAATATATTGTATGTAGATATCCATTTGTATATAAATGAAATTAATAACAATAGAGCACTAAATTAACTAGGGCATTTTTTAGACATTTTCTACTATAGTAAATAAAATGTATAGGAATGCTTTTGGAAAAATGTTTTCTTTCATCAACTAATCACATCTAGCAAAAACAGACAATGTGATTCATCTGAATATTATGTATCACTGATAGTTGCATAAAGATGGTAATTTAAATAGATTCTTCCTATATCCGTGCATGATAAAAAACAAAGATGATTTATTTTATTGGGTCATTTTAGAATTTTCCTCAAATTTTGTGAACAATGAAACAAATTTATGAGATTTATGCCCTTAATTCAATGTTGCTTTTATTTTCATCAGACAGAGGAAGAAAAGGCTGCCTTTCAGAGCCAGTGTGCAGATCAGCAGAATGACTTGGGCTCCCTCAGAAAAGAATTGCTCCAGGCAGAGCAGACTCGCCTGGACTTGGAATCTGACAAAGTCTCCCTCCAGGAAAAAGTTAAATTTCTGGAGATCGAGAAAGAGAAAGTATGTCAGAAAAGCTATTTCTTCTGAATATGAATATTTTTAATGTGGCCAACAATCACGACTCTTACTATAATTGTGTTGTAGGTAGAATTAGAGTTGGGACAAGTGTCGCGGGAGAGGGGAGACCTAAGTAACCAGTTGTCGGTGCTGGCTCGTAAGAAGGAAGCAGTCAATGAAGAATTGATGCGGATTCGACAAAGATTGGAACAAGCCAATGAAACTAATGGAAGATTAAATCGTGATTTGGAAGACCTTGTGAAGGACAAGGAAGAAAAATTAGTAAGATTGAAAAATTTTACTTACATCAGTATTTAGTTTTCAATTATTTATTTTTATTATTTTGTTTCTTTATTCTACTTGTGTGTACTTTATTCTACTTTTCTGTTTCTTAAAATATTGTGTTGTTTAAATACAAATGTAATATAATATAATGTCTTTCTCTTTATTAAATTTGCCAAATCTGTTTGATCAAAATCAACTGAAATCAATCTCAAGATTTTTTTGTTTTGTTAATGCTTACTGCTTTTGTTACTGTGACCTTTTTTTTTTTATTTACTTCTTGTCAAGTCTTGTCATATTGCTGTTGATCAGTGCCTTTTATCTCTTTGGCCAGGGACTCGGTGCCATTAGTAACCAGGGTTCCCTGGTGGACACCCAACTAGGAATCTGCAGAGTTTAAAATTGCTTAACTTCCATGACTTTACAGAGCATAATGAATTCTGTTAGCAATGTTGAACTTTCCTATTAGAAAGTAGTTATAATGATGTAATATTTTGTAATGGTGTTTTTTTTAAGCAACAATATTTTTTTACCTAAGAGCTGTAAGTAGTGCTTATTTATGTAACGCAATTTGTAGCCCAGTTTTGTGTGTATGTGTGTGTGTGTGTGGAGGGGGACTATTATACTACTGTTATTATGTTAACCTAAACCTAATATTCGATTTTTTGTTTCTTACTCTCTCTTTATTGAGCAAATAAGCAAAGGAAATACATGCAGGACTCTAATGTATTTTTCTTGTTTGAAGGTCCTCTTGGAAACGAACGATAAAGAAATTCAGAGACTTCAAGAACAGTTGGCTTCTTTAAGAAGTGAAAAGGAAGCATTGGAAGGTGTATTATTTGATACTCAGACTAATCTTGAATCTACTGAAACAAAACGAGCTCAATTAGAAAAAGAACAACAAGAACTTCTGGTAAAGCAAGAAGCCCTGAAGGGGCAAATCTGCAGGTTGACAAGAGATTTAGAAACCTCAGAAAAGAGAGCCGAAGACATTAAGATGACTCTGACTCAGCAGTCTGGAACTCAAGAAGCTGAATTTCAACACACTGTTAGTAATCTCAAGAAACAGAATGAAGATAATGTCAGAAAACTGTCAGAAGAAAAGGTATATATTCATTGTTTACTCATAATTAAAAGTAATTCAATATTTCGGAATCTTATTTCATTTTTGGTTCATCAAGGAACAAATCCGGATGTCTTTGGAAAAACGATTACAACAGACTGTCCAACAATTAACTGCAGAGAAAGATCATGAAATACAACAGCTTTTAGAAAGAATAGAAGCATTACAACAACACATTGAAAATATATGTCAACAACACGAAGAAGTTCTTCTTCGAGCTGAGAATGACAAACAACAAGCCCTTTTATTAGGTATTGAATTTATTTATTTATTTTTCTTTTTGCAGTGTTTTTTGAGCTCTTGATTTCAAGTCCAATAAATTTTTCACATATTTTTAAAAAATCGATATAAAAGCATCATACTCGTGTGATCCTTTCATGCCCAAACACAGCCTTTTTGTATATTTTACCCTGTCTGGTTAATAGTTCTTGAAGTATTCAGGTGAGGTAAATAGCATTGATCATTTAAAACATGGTGTGTATTAATGTCTGTTTTATAATTTTGTCCTTCTACAGGAACTTTTTAATCTCAATGGTAATGATGATACTGCATCATAATTTTCCATCTCTTAAATTAATTTTGTTTTTGTTTTGCTCTCTAATATAACTTTTAAAGCTCACCATGATCAACAAGCTTTGCAAGAAAAGCTTGAAGGAGTTCATAGGGAGCTAGAGGAAGAGCAGGCAGCTCTGGAGCGTCTGCGCCGTGATGCAGCTACTCGTGCAGAGCAAGATCGAGGCAACATTAACCAACTTCGGGATGAATTATCTCGAATAAAAGCAAAACTCGAAGAGACTCGGTAATTTCAATTTAATGAATTTGGGATTTCCTTCCACTTTTTGTTAGAAAATTTTTCTCCACCATTTCAAGATCTGAATATTTGATCAAATACCAATATACGACAAATATAATTATTTTATTATTATTATTATTATTATTATTATTATTATTGTTGTTGTTGTTGTTGTTGTTGTTGTTGTTGTTGTGTATTGAATGAAATTTTTTTTGTATTACAATTTTAAAACAAGTATTAAAAATAATTGTGTCTTCAATATTTGGTTCAGCAAAAATTCTATTTTCAGACTATCTAGGAGAGGTAGTGCACTACTGATTATTCATTTCATTTAAATATTTTGTAAATGTTGAGAATTTTTTTAACATCTAAGTGAAATATCAAATTCTGTTCCCTAAATGTGTGGCCCATCTTTCCAATTATATGTTCCTCTTCAACCCAATTATTGAACCCTTACTTTTGAAAGTAATATAAGAGACAACAATTGAAAATTTATGGAATATATTAAAAAACAATTTAAATAGCACCTGAAATTTTCCAGGACATACTCACTGTACATTTTTTAAACATTTGACTGCTGTGTTCACCAAATGTGTGGTCTTATCAGCCTTGTTATAAACTACCTGGTCATATATTGCACTTAGGTCTATTAGCAGTTCTTTGGGGGGGAAAAGTAAGCATTTAAATTTTAGGCTCTTAGGTTGTTCAGAATAAGATAGTTTCAACTGTCGTTTCTTGAGTCAGTGTGGGATTGCCTGATAAATGATAATCCTGATTTATTTGCTGGATCTGCTTCTGATTCTAGGGAGTTAAAAAATTATTAATGCATTATTCATCAATAGTGTTGATTTATTATCTTTAATTGAGTGTTAACCCATTGAAAATAATTATGAGCAAGTCATAGGCTGACAATACTTAAATAACGGTCATAATGTATAAAATGTGTGGAATTTAATATTAATAAATATAGAATCTAATTTTATGGTAATATTCATTGTCATGAAAGTAGGTTAAAAGATGTTCTTGTTCATACTTTTTGTAATTTTTTCATTTCTTCTTCAGAATGAAAGCTGAAGAAGAGAGAAATCGACTTGATACTAGACTAGAAGAAGTTCGCAAGGAACGAGATGGAGTACAACAAGAATGTGAAGAGTTGAAGGTTCAGCTACATCTCACTGAAGACAGAATGGATGCAACACAGAATCATCTGCAAGACACTCTTCGAAAACTAAAAGAAGGTATGAGAGCTGTTACAGATAAACCATAAACGTAAAGTAAATTAATAACAGAAATTTCAAGGTTGTGCATTTGTATTATATGAACAAAAGGTCCAAAACTTAAATGTTATGGATTTTCCCAGGGAAAATATCTCTTAATCTTTTTTCACAAATTTTTGTATTTTTGTATTAATATTGCTATTCTCCAGTAAAACTTGGCTGCCCCTTTCTCTTGAACATACAGCAAAGAAGACTTTTCACTTTTGCTGAAAGAGCATGTGATTGAAAATGATGCTCGAATGATGATGAATCTGGTGGATATTTATTTGTCACTTGCTTTATGCCATGTGAATGTAGATTATGTAAAATTATATTATATTTGTTGTAATAATTAGCTGTTCTTACTGATTTTCTGTCGGTGGTAAGAAAGATAATGTGTCCTCATACACGTTGAATTGCTGCTGGGATCATGTGTCACTGATATTCTGCATGTAGTACTGTCATAAATTTCATTTGAGAGTCTTTTTGAGTAGTTATCTCATAGAAATCATAGTGCTGTCTAATGTATGTTCAATAAATATATAAAATAAATTTAATATGACATTTCCCCCAATCTCCACTCTAATATGGATTCATCTGTGCCTCAAACATTGGTATGTGAAGTGGGTGATCTGGGCTGTCCGGGTGACGCCGCGTCGAAGGCTGAGTTGCCGACGTTTCGACCATCCTGTCGTGGTCTTCCTCAGGGCTGGTATGCGCCGTGATGGTCAGCGCTCGTGTTTATATTCAAGTCTAGGCCGTGTGCCGATTGGCCGCTGCTTCAGCCAATAGCACACGGCCTAGACTTGAATATAAACACGAGCGCTGACCATCACGGCGCATACCAGCCCTGAGGAAGACCACGACAGGATGGTCGAAACGTCGGCAACTCAGCCTTCGACGCGGCGTCACCCGGACAGCCCAGATCACCCACATGACTCTGGTCGCGGAAGCCTACGACTTCATTGGTATGTGAAGTCAGTTAGGAACTGCCATATTTATTAACAGGAAAGACGTGCATGATATGTTTTTCCACATATGACATCTGTATTTATAAGTCCTGGGCTCAATTCTTATTCATCCAATTAATGTGTGTTTTTCCAAGGTACTTTCGCTACTTGTGGGTAACAGAGAGTATCAAGGGATTCTGTTGAAGAGAATATTCAGGGCGAGCATATTTGGGGTGTTTTCAGTTCATTTGATTGTGTGCCAAGAGCCAGACCGTTTCTACTTTGCCGCCTCTATTTTTGCTCTTTATGTTTTTGTCATGACACCTTGAAGTTAACTTTGAATTTGATAGATTAAGTGCTAGTTGTTCTTTTTTCTGTTAATATGCAAATATTTTTTGCCTGTATCTTTGTTCTGAGAGTAGTAATATTTCTATTTCAGTTCACCTTTTTTTATGGCATACATAATAGATATGATAGTCTTTATTATATTATGTCCTCTAAATAAGTCTTTAAGATGACGCCAGAAGGTTAACTGCGAGGTGGAGCAAGAGCAGAACTGAGTAGTTAACCTTCTGGCGAGTCTGTAAAGACTAATAGAGAACATGTTACATACAATTTTTTTTTTACAGGGTCTTGTTACCATTTTAAAATAACAATCGCAGTGTGCAGAAGGATCAAAAGAACAAAGGGGGACTAGTGGGATGAAGCGGGAAAAGGAGGGCAAGGGGACAAAATTGGCAATGGTGGACAAATTAGACAACATAGACCAAAGGATGAGGGGACAAACGGGACAAGGTGGTTATTATGACAAAATGGGACAAGGGCACGAAATTAGCCAAAGGGGCAATTGGAAAAGAGAAATTGGAAAATTTATCCAATTGGAAAAGATTTATGAGCACCCATAAAATCTAAACCTAAGAGTCCCCTAAAATATTTTTAATAGACTCTCGAACATTTTAACAGAATAAATAAACAGAAATAACAAAACATTATTTATGAACAGTTTCTTTATATTATTGTACACCTTCAAATGTTTTAATGTTTTTCATTTTTGTTTCTATCACCTATAGCGGAGAATTCCGGTGAAAGTCTCAGGAAAGAATTGACTGATGTCCGCCGCCAGTTGACAGATTGCAATTATGAAAAGGAGAAGTACAGTAGTTCAAATAAGGAACTGCGAGATCACGTAAAGAGAATTGAAGGAGATAAGAGAGAACAAACTAGAGGTCTTGAAGAAGCATTCCAGAAAATTGCTAGTAAGGGCAAAGATTTCGGCGAAATATTAATACCTTACCTTTCATGCATTATTTCTATATTTTGAAGTTAATAAAAAATTTGATAGATAGTTTATAGAGATTACTGTTAATCAATGAGAATGAACAAATTTGCACAAATACTGTGTAATAATAGTGATTTTAATTTAAATCCAGTAATGCAGTTGTAGAGCACTTGAAAATATTAATTTCTAATATAAATGAACTTACAATGTTTCCTTTAGTGATGATATTAATATTAATACTATACTATATTAATATTGTGTGATTTTCATCAGGTCTTGAAGATACTAAAACAGGTTTAGAGGCTGAACGTAGCAGACTTCAGACACAAGTTCGTGATTTAGAACGACAGCAGATGCAAAGTGAACATCAGGCACAGAATTTACGAGATGAATTGCAGCGTGCTCGTAGTAGTGGTGTTCAGAAGCAAAATGAAGAAAAAGAACTAATGGCAAGACTAGCTACAGAAAGTGAAGAAAGAGAGCGGGCTCAACAAGAATTACATCAGCTCAAAAAACAGGTATTCATTAAATTAATATTATTCTCTAACATGCAGTTTTGAGTTGGGAACTCGAAAAACTTCTTTAGTTTTTATCTGAAATAATATTGAAATACTGAAGCATAAAACAACTTTTGAAAACAATTTATTTATTTGATTTTCTGGCTTCTTTTTCCCTCTTCTTTCCCTTTTATTTTTCTTTATGTTTCTCTTTTCAAAAGAATGTCATTATTTTTTATACTGAAGATATATCTGCAACATCATTATTAGATTTTAATACTAGCTCAAATTAAATTTCATTTTCGTATTGTTTTATTATATATTTTGTTTTTAGTTAATATTTTTTGTCATGAAACTACTGTTATTTTTCTTCTTTTGTATTGTTATATGAATTAAAAGAACATGAACAATGAATTTCAGATCATGGAGCTTGACAACAATTTAGAACTTGCTCGGCAAGAAATGAGTCGCATGCGAACCAGGGCTGATGAGGATGAAGAACGATGCCGTAGTAGGGAGCAAGAGTTGCTGGTGCGCTTAGAGGACAGTAGATGCAGAGAGCGAAAATTAGAAGACCAGCGTCACAATTTGGAAGTGTGTCTTGCCGATGCGACTCAACAAATTCAAGAACTTAAAGTATGTTTCCCAAGTGATTGTTTCATTAATCAATAATTTCAACTTTTTGAATGTAGATGTAATTAATATTAAATGTAACCTTAAAATAAATAAGTTTGTTATGGCTGGTTGTGGTGGTGGTGCAATTTTTGGAAAACCATCTTTTTGCATAGCATGATTAACCCTTGCATGAAAATGGATTACATAATATTAAACAGAAGTAAATCACATTGTATTAAATTACCTAAAATTGAATAATATGATTTGATTCTCAAAAATGAAAGTTTTGATTAAAGTTGTTAAATATTATTACAGGCTAGATTGGGTGGAGCTGAAGGACGTGTCAGAGCTTTAGATTCTCAATTGATGCAATTGGAAGCAGCTAAAAAGGAAGTGGAGCAGAAATTAAGCAGTGTTGGATCAACATTGAGGAGAATAGCTGGCATACAAATGGATGGAAGTGTAAATTTACCGTTTAAGTTGATGAGTCCATCTAGACGCTGGAGTCCTGCTCGAGGTTAGTTCTGTTGTGATAGAATGGAAATTGTTGTTGTTGTAGTTGTTATTATTATTATTATTATTATTATTAATGTGCAACGTGTTCAAAATAAGTTATTACCATATTTACCTGAATTTGTCTGTGTATTAATTCAATTCAATAAATGCCTTATTTTCTGTGGCAAGGCTCAGGCCATCAGGCCTGCTCTTCTGTGTGACCATGCAAATTCTGCTACACTCCTTTCACCATTGATCAGAGAAAGGAGGTATTAGTCGGCTGGTAAAATTGGTGATTTTTAATTTTCTTCAGAGGCTTATTTTAGGCTTGAGGATTTTCTTACATGCTGGAAATCTGCAATATGGCACACTCAGCTGTACTTCCCCTCCAAAGGAAGGTGTAAGAAGGATTTTTTCACCCTTAAAAATCCACACCTTTCATCGGGTTTGAACCCATGAATTTGAGTATTACAGTCTGGTAGAGTAACCTTGACACCATTGAAGCATGTATTATGACTTACCCTTACTTTTGAAGAAGCCTAGTGAGATCTTTTTTTATTTTTAACTAATTCTTACATTTGTCTTGTTGATGAGAATGTTAAATCTTATTGCTGAACTATCATTTTCTTGTTCCTTAAAATCATCAAGACCATGGGTATTGTCACTACCCTCACTTTCACATGTATAAATGCTTCTTTCTTTTTGTTCCTCCTTCCATGCTGTGACATCTGACTTTTTAAGCTCCTCTAAAAGTTTTGAACATTGAATTTGCATTGTTCTTAATCTTTCATCAGATGCCTTAGAGCATTCCTTTCTGTGTCACCAGATTTTCCATTTGACCTGCACTTGTTGATGGCCGCTGTTTCTTTAACAGTTGAAAATGCAGATTCACACTCACCGTAATCAAACCAACACCTACACATCCTCCTCAAACCCACATTTTTTTTTTTAAACTTCAGCATTAATTTTCATGTTGAATTTCATTTGATACAATGCCATTCATTTGAGATTCTCTCTTTACCACCCCATTCCGAAATATCGGTCGGAATTGCCCAGCAAATTCACGATGGATGCTGAGAATATGATCACGAATATAATTACTTATTGTAGTTACACACAATATTTTTACAGTCTTTGCAGTTTATTATTATGTTCACACTTACGAGTTTCGTAACATGGAGTGAAATTGTTAAAAGTTAAACCCTAACCAGCTATACTTAATCTTGAATATTAAATGTTTCTCCATTTTTCAGCTGAAATATTTTGGAGAAAGCCTTGTCCGATATTTGTGAAAATATGGTATATCTTGCCATTACCTCATTGTAACAAAAAGGACCACAGCCAGAAGTAGGCAACCTGACTTCACTGGGTATTTGAAACCTATTGCATTTGAAGAAAGTCTGAATGTGTTTTCTTCATAAAAGTTCATTAAACTTACAAAAAATCTTGTTAATCTTCAAGCACTCACGCTGTTGTAAAAAGTACAACAATGGAACATTTTTCATATTTATGTGAAATGTTGCAGTTCAGTAATGAATTCATTCTAGGTATTCATTTATTGATATTTCTTCATTACAGCGGAAGCAGAGTTTACCTTAACAGTTTGTTGAGTTGTGAGAGTAAAGGTGTCTCTATGTTACATTTTACAATAAGCGAGTTCTGGTGTTGATTTTTTCAACTGGTCCTTTAGGTACAAAAAAGTGGAAAATCCAGTTGCTAAATTTAGAAAAAATATCTTCTAACACATGGTGTAGCCAGTATCCATGTTTTGTGTGCCCTAGATATGGAAAAATTTAATGATGGTAAAATGCGTTTGTCTGTCTGTCTGTCCAACTGTGAACAACGCTAGTGGCTAAACTGTTCAGCTTATTTTCTCCCAAAATGGATATTCCTCAATCGATCTGCCTGATTTCACAGGCCCTTGAATTTGAAATAGATCTTTTAATTACTTTACATAAAGACTGTGGGACATTTTCAAAATTTGCAAAAAATGGTTCCATTGTTTTTGATTAAATTTGGTTGTTGGATAGTGTGAAAGATGTTTAAGAGAAGAGGTCTCATTTTCATTAAAAACTCTGATTTTTGCCAGCAATTTGAGTTCATCTGAACTGGTTTTGATAAATTTTTTTAATGTCATTTTTCTTTGCTTTTAGGGCATATTTAAAACAATTCGAGAGCATTTTATTGATCATTTTTGCCAGTTTTTTAGGTTATCAAAATCCGCCCCTACTAATACTCATTCCACTGTCTAGTCAATAGCCTTTCCTTTCTCACTCTGCACGCAGATATATACAAAAGCTTTGTATAAATTCCTACAAGTTTGGCAGCTGCCTACTGTCTTTGGTCAAAAGCTTTGTATAATTCGAAGATTTAAAAATGCCAAATTTCTTTCCTACATTCCTATAATATTTGCAACCCCACTGAAGGTAATGTGGTTAAAGACAGTTTTTAAAATGCCATATATATTGTGTTGTTGTGTTTTGAGGAAGTGAAATCCTTTAAAATTGTTGAGCCTTTATTCACTGCAAAAATATGAACTACCTGTGGGTTGATATTTATATAAGACAATATTTTGAATATTTTCAAGATCACTAGGCATAACCTTAATTAACTTCATAGTTTAAACTTTAAACTGTGTACCAAAGTTGTGAGAGACCTAAAAGTGAACATGCATTTGACAATTATTTTTCAATTTGTTTTCAACTGTTGAATTTGTGCTTTGCAAAAATACTGCTGTGAATACACTGTTGAACCTTCTTCAGAGAAGTTATAATTTGTTATATTCCATGGCTGAGCCATAAAACATTAACTGATACATGTTAGCAGTGAAAAAAAAACGTTTTTAATGCAAAATTAATTTGATGTTAATGATATTTCTTGTGTATCTCTACAAGAATTTGTTTTGTACCATACCTTACTGCTTTGCAAGTAAATGTTTCTTTGCTAATATATTAAATTATTTCAATTGATAGCTGCATGTGTAATATGTAGAAGTCATTATTTCATTGTTGATATAATATTCTAGTTCAAGATCATGGTGACAGCCGAGACATTGTGGTGGATGTAGACCCAGAAATAATTAGAAAAGGTGTCCGTTCTCTAATGCAGCAAGTAGCTCAGATTGAGAGAGAAAGGGTGAGGGATATGTACATATCTTATTCAGTGGAATACTTTCTGATTTTAGTATAATAATAAGTAAGAATTTTTGTTGTTTCTAGGATGACTTGAAAGCACATGTTTCTGGACTCAAACGACAACTCCAAGAAGCTCATGATGTGCAAAATAAAAATGAAAATAAATTAAGTACAGCATTGCAGAATCTTCGAATGTTACAAGATGAGAAAGGTTCCTTGGAAACCAAATTGGGACAAAAACAAGCAGCATTACAATCTCAAGTGAGTGAGATGAATTTTTTTTAAAACATTTAAAATCTCATTGATCAAAGATATTGTAAATGTAGTATACTAGTCTGAATTATGTTCTTAGGAATGAGTAGTGTAATTTTTCTTTATGGACATGTCAGAAATGCTCAACTAAATTGCATATAATTGCAATATCTCTACAAAATTACAAAAATATGTTTGGATGTGTCTTTGGAAGAAAATAACTTGTTTTGTCAGCTTCTTTACTACTTATATCTGGAACAGCTATTGTTTGTTGTAGATAGAGGCTCTTGCACAAAAATCAGAAGAGGCTCAAGTTCTGCGAGAGAAAGTGACTTCACTTGAGTTGTCTGTGCACAGTGGAGCAGAAGAAAAAGGCCAGTACGAGGTAAAATAGAATTATGAATATCACACTCATTTTTATTTTGTTTTTTAAGATTTTATCCTTATATTTTATAGGGATTTCTGTGATACTTTTTTTTATTCTCGTACAGAAAAGTAAAAAAATACTTTAATTTTTTTTTTTTTAAAGAGCTTTGAAAATATTGAATAATGTTAAATCAAGTAAAATAAAAGTTACAAAGAAAACAGATGCACTTGTTTTTTTTAATGATTTTCAAGTTAAAAAAATATATTAGTAGTAAAGACACAATATAAAATAGGCAGAAGAGAACTTATAAAAACATGTTTCATTAAGCACATATTGTATTAAAAAAATTCTTAATAACATTTTTTATGATGTTTTATATGTTCTATTAATTATATAATGTTCTTAATTAAACATGTTTTTGTAAGTTCTCTCTCATCTTATATATATATATATTTTTTTTTCACTTATACTTGATTTTTTAAAGATTTTCATTTGTTTTATTTTTAAATTTTATTTTCGATTATATTATTTTATTTGATATATTCAAAATTTTGTTTGTCATTTTTTATTTCAAATGTAAATAGGTCTTTTATTTATTAATTGTAAACACCTGAAGAGGCATTCATGTAATACACGCAATGTTGTGTAAATTAAGCCCTTTTTTAACTAAAAACATTCTTATGGATTGTCAAAAATGGAAGGAGATGTATTTAATTATTAATATTTAACTTTTATTTTAAAATTAGCCATTTTTATATTACGCAGTAAAAATCCTAGAAGAGTGCTCTTTCTGTTGGGTAATTTCAACAAAACATGTGCATTATTTTGTTAAATTTATTTTTTATCAATGCAGTTTTGTTCTGATAGGACAAATTGGAGAAAATGCGGCAAAATATTTCTCGATTAGAAAATGAGAAACGTAACCTTCAGGAAGAAATTGGACGGAATGAATCTCGAGCAACAAAGCTGGAACTCCAAAGAATGTCTTTGGAAGGTGATCTTCAGCGATTACAGATGATTTTGCAAGAGAAAGACTCGCATATTCAGGTGAAGTGTGTAATGGTTTAATAAATAACTTTGGAATATTTTATTTCATACGGGTCAAATGAATAAATTATGATAATATTTCATTAAATATTTTTAGTACTATTAATAACTTAATTTATGTTTAAAAATAAATAAGAGCTCTTATGCTACCTGATTCATAGTGCAGCAAACTACTTCAACTCTACATCTATTCAATATTCATTTTCATTTCTTCAAAATATCATTATTTACTATTTAGAAGCTTCAAGACAAATGTGATTTACAAGGACGAAATTTAGCAAGTCTTGAAGAGAGATGTGCATCTTTAAAATCTACAATAGATCAGTTAAATATGTCACTTGAGAGAGCTGCGTCTGCTGAAACTGAATTGAGAAGTGAAATTCAAGCCTTGCAACGAGCTTTGATGGAAAGTAGCTCTTCATCACAAGCAAATTTGGAAAAACTGAAACAGGTTTGTACAGCTATAACAAAATTTAACATTAGATATGTCTTTAAAAAAAGTCAATTTTTTTCTTTAATTTTAATATTATGTTCTTTGAAACATTACATTTTAAAAGAAATGTTTAATAAAAAGACGTGTAGTTTATACTAATTTGAATTTCAATACTGTAGAGGCAGAAGCAGAAAGATCGCAATGTATCTTGTCTAATGCTTGTGATACTTTGTGTAGTTACAGAAGCAGCTTTCAAACAGTGAGAATGAACGACGCATTGTGACAGAACGATTAGAAGCAGCTCAGCAAAATTTAGCTGAATTACGTCGTGTCAATCAACATTTAGCAGATCAAGCCCAAAGATTACAAACTGAATTAGCTAACAATGAAGTCCAACGCTCTGGCCTTGAAGCACAAATTCGTTTAGCAAGCAGCTGGCCAGGAGAAGGTACTAGTAGCGTTGGTACATCCAAGGATGATGAGCTTATGAAGCAATTGCAAGCTTCTCAGCGAGATCGAAGTGAATTACGTGGGAAAGTGGAATCATTATCTGACAAGGTAAAGTTTTATTTAGAATTTAGAATTTTGCATTTTTTTTCATATAAAACAGAATTTTGTGTCATTGCCGCTAGATGGGACAAAACAGGTTTTCATCAGTTTTCTGTGAATCCTCCAATTTCTCCTTAAATTCCACTATTTCTTAAATTCATTCTTATTTCTCAGCTCTTCATCAGCTTCCCCTTTTCCTTCTGCTTCCTTATCTTCACTGTTTATCAACCTTCATTTTGTTCATCACCACCTTCACAGTCAAGGTCTTGGTACCATCTTTCCTCATTTAATGCCATACAAAAAATGAAAGTGGGAGGTAGGAGAAACATTTATCAAATATTTTTTGATATTTTGAAAACAAAATCAGGCTGTGTTTCATGTTAGAAAAATTGTTCGATTATGAGTGTGTAATGGAAAGACTATGCTTAATATTTATTTAGAAAATAGGAAGTTTACGATGTTGGTAAAGGATCAATTAAGTTTATTGATCTATAGAATTATATTAGTACAAAGTTTGTGTTAAACTTACCTTGAATTTTGATTTTATTTCAAAATTTGTTATTACAAAGCAAATTCTTAATTAACTTTCATTTGCGGGGGGGGGGGGGAAGTTGTGATAATCCCAATTGTCATTGCCCAGTTTTGATTTATTACATGAGATCAAATATTTCTTGATATAAAATTTGGTCATAAATGCTCATTGCTTCCTGTATTCATAATTCAACATAATGTAGTTAAAGTGTAGAGTATAGAATTGAAGAAAATATGGGCAGATTTCACTTCTCCCCCATTCATCACACAATTTTTAAATGTGTGATGTATAAATAATGTAAATAATGAAATACGTAAATAACAAGATGATATAAATATATGTGCTTGTGATTTTACTCATTATATGTGTGTATACTTTTACTTCTTAGAGTAAGTATAATTAATGTATATGCTCAACATGACAGGTTCGACAACTGGAAGCAGAGAAGCGAAATCTTGAAAGAGTGGCTAAGAGTTCCATGGGTAGAAGCAAAAGTTATGAACGACCAGAGAAGTCAGAAACTACATCTCTCTCTGATTCATTGTTAGAACAAGAAAACAGAGAACTGAGACTAAAAGTACGTCGTTTAGAATCACAACTGGCAGAAAAAGAAGCTGAAATTGCTCGTTTAAAGCAGATGATAAGTGCAGATGTGAAACCAGATCGATCTGCAGAAATTGAACGTCTTAGAGCAGCTCAACTTCAGGCTGAGAGGCTTTTAGAAGCCCGAGAACAATCACATCGGCAACAAGTTCTGCGATTAGAGAATCAGGTATAAAATCTGAAACAATTATTTAATTTAATGAAAAGAAATTTTAGTATACATAATTGTATTTGTTTCGTATAAAACTGATTGTCATTTCAATGTTTTTAATCAAATGCTTTTCTTTCTTTTTGTTATATATTTTATATATTTCTGTTTTGTTATAATATTTTTATTTTTCCCTCATTTCTTCTTTTTTTCCCCCCCTTTTCCTATATTGGACATATTTTGTAAAACCCTTATTTTGACTTCTTAAAGCAGATGTTTCAATTAAGTTCTACAATACGTTAACATCCATTTTTATTTAAATAAAATCTATTGTCATTACCAACATTTTATTTATAATATGAGAAACTTTCGAGAGCTCATTTACAAATAAAAATATAGGTAATGACATCTTTGATTACAATATTGGAAATGTCAAAAATACATCATCAATAAACATGGGTATGTTGTAAATGTATTTAATTTTTCCTAGATACAACTCTTGCGTGAACAACTGAATCAAGAAGTTAAACGTAGGCAGCTTTATGTACTTCGGAGCTCTCGTGCTGGGCGTGAAATGCAACAACTTCGTCAGGCCCTGGGAGACTCATTGCGTACAGTGTCACAAGATCCATCTTTGGATGCTCTACTCTTGGAGCATGAAACTCGCAAACTTGACACTACCCTTTCTTCTGCAAGTAGTCTGCCACCAGCACTGCCTCTTCCATATTCATCATCAGATTTATCTTCATCAAAATAAAGGGAAACATTTGAATGTTGGAGTGGAAAGAAAAAATGCAATATCCTTGTTTATTGTCCTTGCTAAAATTGTATTCTTTTTGTGAAGACAATGTATCATTATCTTTATCAAGAACTATATTTTATATGGTCTTTTGTGACACTTTAATAACATACTCTAGAAATAGCCCTGCACTTTTGATTGTCCACTGAAACAGCTTTTGAAAATATTCTTGTTTATGATATGTCTACCTCTTCAATACCTCGTACTTGTCTCAACTTAGTCATTTTCTTCGTAGCTGCAGAGAAGACACAACTTTTAGCTGAAGAAAATTTTTAATTTAATCCTTGTAAGTTCCTACTATTTACTATGATTTTTTTTATGCAAAATTTTAGGTACTTTGTTGTAAATTGAAAATTGCCTCAATTTTATTTACATGTTGTTGATATTTTGTTCTTTGTTAATGTGTTATTGTTTTTAAAATGTTTTCTTATTTAATACGTTTGTAACATTGTATTTGTGTGATCAGTTATTTAATAATCCTTCAGTCTTTCTCTCTTTTCCTTGGTCATCTTCATCATTGTGATTATCATCAGCATTTTGTTTTTAAACATATTTGAATTTGAGTGTGTGGTTGATTGATCTCGTAAGACTAAGTTTGACAACCTAATGAATTTCATTTCTTTGTCTTCCTTTTTTCTGGTATGTATTAATTTCTGTATTAAACAATCATATTTAATAATAGTGTAAATTATGTCTTGACTTGGATGAAAATGAAAAAAATTGTAAAAGATGGTTAGGTATGATTGACTACCATTTGGAGGATTACACTTCATCCAGGACTTTGTTTTGCCAATACTGATTTGTTAGTGATTGCAACACAGAGGAAATTGTTCATGTGTACTTCACAAGATAAGTGTGCGTAGATTAGATTGAAATAATGATGGTTTTTTGTGGGTAGAAAATGTGATTCAAAGGTCAACTGTTCATTGGTTCTGAGAGTGGTAGACTCGGAAACATCAAAAATTCCAAGGCCAAACTAGGTGAACCACAATGTTAATATGATGTGTGGTAGGTGTAGAATAACTGAAAAGTAAATATACATATATATATATTACAAACATAATATGTGAAATGATACTGCCACAAGATTTATATAATAAATTTGTAATTACTTTGTAATATTTTCTAGACAGTTTGTAGTGATTCAAAGCAACTTTATTCATGGTTTAACAAAGCATATTTTTGTACATATTTTCCCAACTTTGGGTTATATTGATCTCCAGTAATATTTAATGAGTGTAGTATAAATGCAGATGTGTCCGATGAAAATTGTTTTGTAATTGCATTTATGATATTTATTTTTGGCACAACTTGCAAGCAATATATCAATATTACTGTGCATTTCTCAACTTTTATAAACCTTTTACCTACTTTTATTACTGTTTAAACTGAATATTTACACTGTAATATGATCTGTCATTTCTATACCTTTATAAAGGTATAGAAAGCTATGGTTTATCCAGCTAGTTGCTTCATCTAATATGTGGATAGTTGTAATTTATATTGGACATAGATCATAATCTTGCTTACTATAGGATCTCTCGCATTAAATAGAATTCAGAACATATGCTGGAAAATGTTGAAAATGATGATAATACACAGCCATTTCGTTTTAATCATGAAACTGATGTTTCGCTAAAGAAACTAGAGGTTTTAATTACACGAAAAATTACATGAAAAGTCCTCAAATTTTCGAAAAATTGTATATGACCTTATTTTAAAATCAATCTTTAAAGGGCAGATTTCACTATGGGAAAAAATCTCAATCTTTTATATTTAAGTTGTAGAAAGATTGTGCAAATAATTTTCAACTTTTGCAATTTTTGAAAAATCAGGGATTTTAACAAAAATGAGCCCTATACTAATTCCCGTAACATTTTTCATGCAATCCAACAACAAAAAAATAATTAAAAATGATGGAGCCTTGTTTTTGAAAATGACTTGAGCTTCATGTAAAGTACCTCCCAAAATTAAAATATTGGTTTCAAATTCAATGGGCCACAACTTCAGCCAGATCAATCAAGGATTATCAATTTTGGAGAACATTAGATGAACAGTTTAGCCACTAGTGTTGTTCACAGACGAACAGACAGACATTTTGTCGACAATCCACTTTTCGGTATCAAGGACCCACAAAACATGGCATATAGATACATGTGTTAGAGGATTTTCCCCCCTAAATTCAGCAACTGGATTTATCCACTTTTTCGTTACAAGAGCCCTGTAATAGAGAGTTTTTCTGCGGAAAATTTCCCGTTTTTTCGTGCAGCTTAACATAAATTTCTCTTAAGAAGTTCCTTCTTAAGCGCGAAATGTAAAAATTGGAGCTGTTTCCGAGAAAATCTTGTTTTTGTAGTTTTTTACTCAAAAGTATCCTCCACCTAAAAATTAAAATATATTTCAAATTCGAGGGGCTGCGACATTAGCTAGATCGATTGGGGAATATCAATTTTTGAGAAAATCGGCTGAACAGTTTAGCCACTAGCGTTGTTCACAGACGTTTTGGCGTCATTGGATTTGTCGGTATCGAGGACCCCCAAAAAAGGAGTCTGGCTACATCATGTTTTGGAAGAATTTTTTCTAAATTTAGCAACTGGATTTATCCCCTTTTTAGATACTGGTGCCCTTGTAATAAGAGTTTTTCTGCCGGAAATTCGCCGTTTCTTTGCGCAGCATTACAGAACTTCTTCTCTACTGCACAAGCAGTAGCGAGAAAGTAAAAATCACTGTAATTTTCCGTAAGTAATTAATTACATATTTTTATCATAATAATCAAATTTCAGCCTCGCTGAAAATCTGGTTCATATCAAAGGTAAATGGGTTCATATCAAAGGTAAAAAGGGCAAAATTTTCAAGGAGTAAGGATCTTTCTCTTGCTCCCAGTACACCGAGGGATTGACAGAACTTGTCGCTCGATTTGTATGAAGCGTGCTACGTGCACGGTGTTACTGACTTGAGTGTTTCCGATCCTCTGAAAAATGAGTTGCCTGCCTTCGGTCTAACGATGCCTCTTATTTTACGATTTTTCAACATTTAAGAATTAATTCCAAGAAGTACCTTGTACTCAAAATATAGTAAACATATAATAATTTGATATTAAATATTTTTATTTCAAATGTGTATTGTCAATTGCAGTAAATTAGTAATGGACAGTCACACACATTTCTGTTCAGTGACTATTGTAACAATATGCAAAGACGGATCCAGAGACAAATTTTGGGAGGGGAAACTAAAAATGTTATGGTCCAATATGTCAATACAGTTTTCGAAAAAAATTGCAGGCTACACTCAGCTCATGCTGCACAACGCTTTTCTTCGTTTTATTGATTATCCGAAAATATTTTTGCTTCAAAGTTCCATGACAAGTAAATATTAATAGTTACAGAAAAAGTTGAGGTCGTGGAGGAGGGGATTTCCCTCCCCATGAATCCTTGCCTGCAATATCTAAAAAAATGTTCAAATATAAAATGATTTTCAAAGTGTCTAACACAAAGAAATAGAATTGTCTTTAAAGGTGTGGCTTTTCAAACAAATCATCATACAATAAACTCTTAGTTGGGGAATCTATAAAACTTGCAAAGGAAAACAGTTATTCAACTGGTGTAGATGAACTAAGGTGTAGATAAACTAGTGCTATAAAAAAACTTTTGTTATTGCCGAATATTTGACCAGCATTTTTAATGATTTAGATTTATCACTTAAAACTGCTGAGCTTTTATTTTTGTTTCAGTGAGGTGCATTCACTAGTTGAATCAAAGAAAAAAACTATCTTCTTTTTTGTGTGTATTTGAAGTATTTTAAGTTGTACTTCTTTTTTAAATACATCTCTAAAATATGAACCCAAAGAACTCAAAAATTCAGTTTTTCAAATACAATATGTATTTAAAATACATATTTGAAATACAAGTTTTTTAATACTGCCCAACCCTGCTCATTACAAATCATACAACATTTAGTGCAAAAACTAAATATTTTCAAGCAAATATCACAAATTTGACAATTATAACTGCTTTTCATACAGGTAAATCATATCTCAACAATGAGCCGTAATTCACAAAAATGAGCTCTTGAGTGGTTGTAGCATTCCAATCGTCCTGTTGTCGAGTCATTGTAGCATTCCAATCTGATATTCTCTGAAAGCTAGCAGTAATTCATGTAGGTTTTAAATTATCTCTAAAAGATTAATGGATAATAATGTGTAAATGTATAACACAAAGCCAAATGTAAGAAACAAACAATGAAATATGAAATAATATACAAATTCTAACCTTCATAGTATCCAAATGTCAGGAACTATATCTACATAGCACAGTTAATTTGGCATTATTTTTGTCTCCAAATTACCCCAAAAATACTCATATTTTCAAAAAAATTGAACATGACCTTATTTGAAGTTTTTATAAACATTGTATTTTCATAATTGTAGTTGTAGATAGAGGCCGATTTTTTTTTTTTTTTTTTGGAAAATCGGGCATTAAAATAAACATAAGATCTGCACCATTGTCTTAAGCATTCTTTATGCTATCTCAGCACTCAATTTAATAAAAAAATGTGGTGCAGTTTCTAAGAAAAAATTGTTTTAGGAAAACAAAAATTGCCTATGTTTGACACATAATTTCACAAAAAGTACTCGTATTTTTGAAAAATCGAACATGACTTTATTTGAAGATATGTTATTGATGAACACATTTCATTAAGACGAGGATGCTCCCTTTCACCCACATTTATTTAAACTTGTTTATAGAAGAAGCAATCAAATACTTTAAAGGAAAAACAAAGGGCATACAATTTAATGGTTTAGAAATACACTGTTAAAGATATGCTGATGATACAGCAATATTAACAACTTCAAGAAAAGATTTACAGAAAACGAAAAATAGCCTCACACCAATTCTGCTAAGGTTCCTCATCAAAATTAACATAAAGAAACCTAAATTCATTAAATTTGGGAAATAAACTACACATCTAATAAAATAATATTAGGTTCAAGAGAAATAAAACATGTACAAAACTTTTGCTACTTTTGAAGCTTGACCACATCTACTCTCTACTCCAAAGCTACTTCACACACCGATCCTTTTACGTCCAATATTACCAAAAAAGTCCCCCAACTATCCCGTCCAAACCGGCGTCCACCAGGGCGCCATGCTTTCCCCACTCCTTTTCCCCTGTTCATAAGTGACATCCCTTCCACCCCTGCAGTAGAGAGATTCCTCTAAGCTGATGATCTTGCCTTCCTTCCGCAACCTCACCCGCTCCTTAAGAAATCTTCAAAAATCCCTCGACTCCTTCCACCTCTGGGCTTCCCAAAATTCCATTAACATTAACCCTTCCAAATCCCAAGCCATCCTCATATATAAACTATGCATGAAATCCACCCCCTCTGACCATAAATCATACTTCTATCCCCTGGCAACCCCTTGTCAGTATCTTGGCATTACTTTCCCGCAGACTCCTTTGGTGTCAACACGTCCTCAAACCCACAATAAAAACCAGCCGGATAACCAACGCCCTTTATCCTGACAAATCCATCTATCCCCATCCCTAAGAAAATCTAAACCTACAATACCTATATCCGCCCAACCCTTTCCCTACGCCCATTCCACCTGGTTCAATACATCTATTATAAACTACAGGAAATTACCCGTCACTGAAAACCGAGTGATCAGACTGATCTTCCACCCTTAACCCGCTTCAATGGCCTACGGCAACAGTACAAAATGCCCCACATCCTCGCCTATCTTTACAACTCCTCCGTACAAACTCTATAAAAGTTCATCACCACTCCTCAGTTGAGAAACCTTATCCTACCCCACCACCATATCATCAGAGAAATCCTCTTCGGCACACTCGTAAAAAACACCCCCTGGACATCCTGCAACTCCATCCTCCCATAACCTAGGCCAGAGGGCGAAAAACAAGACCAAACGAAAAAGACATATGAACGACCGACTCTCTACTGATCCACAGTGAACCCAAGACGAACCTGAGAACCTTTCCCCTCCTATATCCCATCCCATTCCCCTCCCAAATCCATTCTTTTCCCTTTCCCCCATCCTCAAGCTTCCTAACAAAACAACTCGTTACTTCACCACCCAGATTCCCAATCCCCATCGCATCACATCAGTAGACGACCGGGACAAATAAATATGGGCAATTACAGTCAGGCGGACATTTCAAGCACACCCTGGTCTCTATTCTGTTTAGGACGCCGTTCATTCCCCTCTACTTTTCTCGCTTTATGACATTCCAACAACAACCGGAGTTGAAGAGTTTATTTACGCCGATGACCTTGCCTTCCTTTCCTCCTGTCAAATCCTAAACCATTCCCTCAATAAACTCCAAAACACCCTCCAAAAGTTCGTTGCCTGGGCCGAACAAAACGCAATAGAAATTAACCCATCCAAATGCCAAGCAATAGTATTTTCATGGAAACGCATACCCTCATACCCACCTCATCTCAAAATTAATCACCAACCCATACCCTGCAAACACGAACTTCACTATCTTGGTATCATATTTCATGAAAATCTCTGGTCCTCCCACCTTCAAGAAAAACTCCAAACAGCTCACCGTCTTGTGAACGCCTTCTACACACTCCTCAGCAACACATCCTCATCTATTAAGAAAAAATCCTCATCTACCATACTTACATCCGCTCCATAGCCACGTACATCACTTGGTCCACAACAACCCTCACCAACTTACTTCTCCTAACCCGACTAGAAAATAGAGTACTAAGAATCATTTTTCGGCCTCAAAGATATACAAAATTCAATGACATCAGTGAAGCTCTCCAAACACATCATCTATCAATCAGCTCTAAACCAAATCACAAAATTTATAACTGATCCAACACATCAAAATTTCATCAAACAACACGCAAAATTTTAACAGAACCCCTCGCTCTTCTTCTTCTAAGAAACACTCCTTAGATATCCTCAAACTCCCACTTCCACCAAATAGACAAAACAATAGACACAGGACTGAAGTCTTGTGTGCACGTAAGCTGCCGCGAATAGAGTTCATGACTTCTAGGCTGTCCGGGTGGCGCCACATCTGTGGCTAAGAGGCCGATGTTTCGCCTGCCTCGCGGGCTTCCCTTTCCCTTTCTTTACCATGTTCGTCAGACACCAATCCCTTTCGGGATTTTTCATGTCTAGGTTATTGTATTTGTTGGTTCTACTTGGTTTAGTGCACCCTATTCCTTCGTACGGGGATGGGGATCAAGGGAGGGTGTGGGTGGTTGTCAGAAAGACCGGTTATTTTGTTATCAGTTGTTGTTGTTGTTGTTGTTTTGACGGGTGTAGGAATGGATTGGTGAATAGTTGTCCTGATACGTTTTGAATTAAAGTTGGGTTGTTATGTTGAAGGTGGGTTAGGTGTGGTGAATTATGGAATTATGATAAATTTAGTGTGGGAGCGTTTTTTTTTCTGGGCGTTCCACCTTCATTGAATACAGGATCCAAAATGTCATTGACCCCATTGCACTCTTAGTATCCTTCAAAATTACAAGTAGTTGTTCTAGGGGGGAAAAATTAAAATATCCGAATGGAAGTAAATTGCAGAAGCTCTCTTCAGCATTCAGATTTAATGTTAAATAATACCAGAGAGGTGCTTCACAGTTCACGTGTGCGGGTAAAATCAAGTAATCCAAACATTTGGTAAATTTGTAAGCAATTGAAGAAATGCAATGCATTTAACTATACTTAAAAAGCTTCCCATGAATTCCAATTTACATCATTTGATTCACTAACTAGCAATGGTACAACTCTTTTATTTATTAAAAATTTTATTTAATGTTTAATGACATCTCTTTTTCTGCGGTGGTAATTCACTTTGATCTAACCAATGAATTCACTATGTATTTTACAGAATTTCATAGAAACTTTGCCTATTTCTTGTGAAGCCTTTACTACGTATCCAATGAATTACAATTGACGATGATTTCGTGCAACTGAAACTGTGAGGTTAGCAGTAGCGCTCATATAGCACTAATCAAACTTAATTCAAATCAGTTGACGGACACGAAAAGACCGTGGAACGAACACCATGGAAATACAGTTAGCAGCACACTCGACTGCTACAGTCAGATATATACTCTCTGGCCACAGTCAGGAAAAAATTCCAATTCCAATAAAATGGCCGAATGATCGATTACCATGCGATATAAATCACCCACTAAATCCGTCGAAATAGCGAAACTTGGCAGGCCTCCCCAACACTTCGAGTTCGATTTCGAGTTGGCGCGTGCACTGACTAAGATGCAGTCAACTGCTTCGCGCTAAAGCTGGCACAAACTCCCTAGTGTGAAGATCGACAGCGCTTTCGAGGTGGCACAATCGATCGGGGCACTATCGATCTTTAATATATTATAACCTCCTTGGAAAGATGGTAACCAACTAAAGTAACGCTATACAAGATGCAATATTTAAAAGAAATTCTTCAATAATCAATTTCAATGTCTAGTAACGATATGATAATTTTGGCATTATCTGCGCTGGTTTTCTTGAGCCCTTGCTTCTTTAGTTGCGAGACGGGTGGGCTGGCTACATTTAAAATTCTCGCAAATATTGTGATGCAAACTAGTGTCTAAAGCTCATTGGCTGAAATACGATGCGTCCTCATCCCTCTGTGGCGGGGCCTATTAAAATTCGAGTTATCGCATGCAGTCGATTGCTGCCCGCTAAGGCGTGCAACTCTCTATCGATCTTCTGTGCATGAGCATTCGACACAGAGAGTATATTCGACATGTCGCTCCCCAAATTTGGCCACTGTTCTCTTACGTCATAGAAGCGTCATAGCTTGTCATAGATTTCATATTTTTTGTGTACGTTGGTGTACATTTCGTCATGCAAATCAAATCAAAGAGTGGTAGCACAGTGATAATCAATTTATCGTGTTAAAAATCAGACAGGGTAATAACTTTTATCGTAAAATTGAAATATAGAAAACCAAACTTGTATGCCTTGTTTTTAATCCCCTTAGTAGTTTCAATTATAAGTGTGTAAGTACTATTTCGAATTCTCATTTCAATCCATCCATTGAAAAGATAAACTTTGTTGTGATAAGAACATTGATTATGTATTTTATCATTTAAGCTTGCAAATTTTAACTTTTCGTGTTAACCCATATCCTGATTGTGTAGACAAAATGAATAGTATTGGAGAAAATTGCAATGAACTAAAGAAACAGTATGACAGTTGTTTCCTTACCTGGTTTTCTGAAAAATTCTTAAAAGGTGAAACAAATGATGAAATGTGTGCTCCATTCTTCAAAGTGTATCAGCAATGTGTTAAGGTATGTAGTAAAAACTGTCTAATGTGTGTAAAGCATATCTTCTTTAGGTTGAATTTTATTGATTTGATTTTTTAACACAGTATTTCTTCAGTCTTTTATTATAGTTCTTTGAAAAATTGTGTTTAAAAGAAAACATTTCCATTAACTATATAATATATCTGGAAACATTGGTGAACTAATACTATTATGTTCTAATATTTCTATTTATACCTAACAAACATCCTATTAATATAACATAAATTGAAGGTTGGGTATTTGGTTCCCAATTACTGAATGTACTGATTATTGGAATTTTATTGAAGCAAATTAATGGAGAAGAAAAGCATGATTTTTTTGTGTAGTATGGGGATTACATTAAAGACTTAATTATCTCTTCAATTCTGAAAGTATCTTTTCATTTTTATGTAAAAACATAACCATGATGGATTATATTTTATCAATTTCCATATAACACATTAAATTTTGATTTGAATGGGATTATAATTCACATATTTCAAATTACTACTACCGAACCCTTATTAGATAAATTGAAAGATAAATAATCGAGCATGCATACAATTGCTTATGCATTTACTACCTTTTAACCAGAGACCATACTATTATTTTATTTAATATTTTTTGTCTTTGTACGTTCAGTTCTCAAAATTATGCTCTTGGCAAATCAGGCCAATCCTAACACAATACGCAAATTTTTTGTTACATATTTTACAAAGTTTTTATGAATCTACTAATTTTCTCAACCCTTTCACTGCTACGAGCCATTATAGTAGCATGGAGAAAACGTTCCATTAAATGCTAAGCGCTATAGTGGCGTTTGGATTTCTTTGCGCCAACACATATGACACTTTTTCCAATCCTTAGTAGAATCTACTGGCTGTGCAAATAGTTACTTGCTACTTCTAACAAGTGGCAGGTATCACAGGCTCTTAATCTCATGCTGGAATTTATTTCACAAAACTTGTTAAATAAAATTCAAAAATAGTTTTTACTTAAAAAATCAGCAGTGTTTCTTACACATATTCAGAATTGCATGCTGGTGAAGTGAGGTGCCCCAAATGATGATGTATGCTGTCTCTTGAGTATCTATGTAGCAATGAATAGCTCATGAATGCTGAAAATATTATCTTTAAGTATGGAGATTATCAGTGATGTATTTTCTTGATTAAAACCAATTTACAGGAGATGTAAACACATTGGTTATCACAGGGGTGTAATACTTGCATGGGAGTGCTTGTATGATTGTTTGAGAGTCATTGATTTCCAAGTATGTACGATGATATAATTGCTCTCAAACATGAAAGTATACTTTTGTTAAAAAAGTTATTTCAGGGAGACAAGCAATAGTTTTTAAATTTTTAAAATTGGTTTAATAATTTTGTTTTCAATTAGTTGTTGTATTATGTATAATTGATTGTGTAACTTGACAGTGAACATAAAATACTAAAAATTTGTTTCATTGTTCTTGAAGCTTAGTTCTGTATAGTTTTCTTCACCAGCAGCTTTACTTGTAGACAGCACTGTTCTGTGAAGAATGATGTATTAAATATATTTATTTATGAACAAATCTCTCCATCATGAGTGCTTGTTGTTATTTTAGTTCGGTTGTAATTGTGTCAATTCTATTCATTTATGAGGGTCATTAAATTGAAAATACTATAGTGTATGTAAAGAATGTTTTAAATATGTTGTAAAAGTATTTAAAGTATTGCAATATTTTGTAAAAGTTTTTGAAGAAATGAAATTTTGAAAAAAAAATTTAAGTATGTTGTCAGAAGAGATTTTTTTTTTTATTCCCTGTTGTCATATTTTAAATGAATATTATAATTTTACTTTAGGATCAGAAAAATGGGTAAATCCACATGTATTTGATACAGAGGTAATTCTTTGTTGCAGAAGGCAATCCAAGAGCATCACATTGACTTGAAAGTTATAGAGCAAGATCATTTAGGTACAGAAAATGAAAACAAGGTTCCACCAAAGAGCTGACAATTGCAGAAATATCGAATGTTGGGTTGGTTATTTCCTTGCTCTGTTCCTCCAACCTCATTTCTGTTTGGTTGTAGTAAGGAAATAGAATCCAAACCTCAAACTGATGTTTCAGTTCAGAAACAATTGTGAACTAATAGTGTGGGCCACATTGTAAGAAGAGGAGAATGTGATGATAGAGGAGTAAATATGTTTTTAGCATGTTTTTGTTGTGGAATACAAGTTTATGTATATATGTGTGTGAATTTATTGTAGATATTTAAATGCAAAATTGTTATTTATGCAGAATGCTCTTTTGAATATTAGAAGTAGTTCCCAGTAATGCTTTTTCTCCTGTTTCTTTGACACTGGGTGGTTAAGGAATTGTATCTGAATACAGTGGTATCCATTTCCAAAATCCCTGGTTCTATAATATATTATATATTATTTCTTGACGTGTCATTATAGGTCATGTTCAGTGCTTTTATTTTATATATCATGAAATGTCAATGTCACTTCATATATCACTTTACATTTTCAGTTAAATTGATAGTTAATGTGATACACAGAGCTATGAGTTTGCAGAAGTCTTGAAATTATCTGTTGACAGTTAATAGTGTAGGTCAAAACGATACATTTTTCGTAGGAAGCTCAGTGGCCAAATATCTTCGACAAAAAATATTTATTTTAGCAGTCATGCATGGCATACTTATTTAATTGTTTGTTGATTAGAATGTGTTAGTTTGTGATACACATATGGCTAAACAAATGACATGGCATTATAAAACAAATGGCTGGTTTAAAATAAACAAAACATGGAGGCAACAAGAATCAACATGACTGTCACTTTGCATTTTGAGAATGATCCCAAGATTATATACTTGTAAGTTTTCATGGATTAAGGCTAAAAAAGAAAAAAAAACACAACTTGTACGAAGTTGTCTTTGGTGTACTCATTTCAAAATCCTGGACTTAACTGTTACATCAGTTCATCTGTCAACACTTTATTTGTATGCCAAAGACTCACTTTCTGTACTAGTTTAATAAATAACTAAAAAGTAACAATCACATAATTTCATTTAATTAAATAAAATTCTCTGCAATATTATGTTAATTGTATTTATCATTTCCTTTAAGGTAGTAGGTACATCACTGTGTTGCTCAAAAACTACAGGAAATAAATTATTGATATTTTCTTTCACATGCATTTACAAAAATGATTTGAGTCAATAGAGGTTAGGTCTTGTAGTGTGCTGCCTTCCACAGAACTTTATTTATGCTTGGAAAATATACATGTGGCACCAAATGGATTTAAAACCTCTCACTTATAAACATTTCCTTTCATGAAAATAATAATTTCAAATTTTAAACAAAAATTTGTTGTTTTAAACAAAAAGATTCTTGAATTTTCGTATCACCTCAAAAATCTAAAAGGTGACTTGCCAGTGCATATGATATTGCAACGACTTATTCAGAAATTTCTTGTGCATTGCTCTATGTAATATCAATTAGCAAATGTATATTACTTTTTGCAATCATGATGGAAATAAAAGAAAACACCTATATGTACCCAGATTTTCTTCTTTTAATCTTAATTGCAAAATGTGTTGCACCAAATATCTTTATTTTATCCTTTCTAGAAAAAATTTTAATTCAATTTAACTTGATGCATTCTTCCTTTTCATGATCTTAAGAAAAAATTATTTTTCTTCAAGTAATTGATTAGAGATATCTAATAAGTTTGTGCATTTTTGCAAAACTTCCAGTCATAGTTTTAATGTACCCTTTTCCCTTTGCTGTTTTTGACAAATTTTCATGAAAAGTATTTTTTTTTACTTTAGAACAAAGCCATTAATATAGAAATTAATTTATGTTAAGCCAAAACAAAATGACCCACTTTTGTATGTCATTTTTCATCGATTGCTAGCGATAAGTCATTTTTTACCTTTTAAGTCATTTTTAATGCATTTTTTCTGAATTCATTGATTTTAATATTATTTTAATGGTACTTGTTCACCACAGAATTCCTGAGAAGCATATTTGATTTCTTCAGTTATGTATTGTAATGTCAGCCATTGTGAGTACTATGTAATCTAAGGTTCCTGTGACGTCTGTTGGCGTCATTGTCAGTTCGGCCTATTTCACGATAAATAATGGCAGAAATTTTCTTTTAAAGAACAGTCCAAACCAAAAGTCTGCAAGCTGAGTTTGCCTGAACAACTGAAAGTCTTGATTACATCAGTAATGTACCCAACAGCTCGAGTTGTTCATCTGAAGTGGATTTTATCAAATAATTTACATCATTTTTTTTTGTTTTAAGGGCGTTTTTTAAGCATTTTATTGATCGTTTTTGGTAATGTATTAGATAATCATAGTCTGTACCCTAGTAATGAATTAGGCCAGAGTGATTTCATTATCTTATTTTCACTTAATTTCTAGAAGATATGGGAAAATTTTAACTATCGTATATATTTGAAATTGCTGAAAATTTTGTATGCTTGTGTCAAGTATTGCAGCTACTCTATTACATGTTCAAGAATTGCATCAGAAAAAATTCTTTAATTTTTGGACCTTTTGTAAATGTGTTATATCACAGGATAAAATTATAAAAATCTGTCCATTCTTTTTTTAGAAATGAAAGGTACAGAAAGAAAATCAAAATAGTTGGAAAAATATAAAAATAAATGGAGCTTGATTCTTCAATTACTGTTTTTATCATGCTGGGCTTTGTATATGAAGAAACAGGAGGAGCCTACTATTGATATTCTTACCTGGGAGAATCCTTAGTGCCTATTAGATTCATCAGGATTACCTTAGACAATTGCAAAGTCGTTTTCAAACAGAATAAGACAGTCTCACATGAATGGAGTGCAAACTAGAGAAAACAATATCATACTACTGTAAGATACTACGAATGCAAGACGTATAAAAAGAGCAACGTAAGAATACCGATGCATTTATATTTATTATTTCTATATCCAGGTACCGAAGACTCGATACAATGCAAACAGCTGGAAAATATAAGTTCCCAGTACTTCCCCTCGAGTTCACATTAGTTCTATTCGTTCGAAACCGGCGTCTCTCGAAGTTCGTGTTTGACTCTACTTAAACATGACATCAAAAAAGCAACTTGTTCATTCGTCGATGCGTGTTTTAACTTAAATGTTTTTTCTCTCTAACCTATCGCGAACAAAATGATGGCGTAAATAAATATGTTTCATTCTGCTCCGATACATAGAATTATTGGCCAAATTGATGGCACTCTGTCGCAAACAATTATAATTGGATTTAATCTCGGTGACAACCGCTTTGTGCCACTCACTTGAGTTTGGGTCCTGTCATCGCCTCGAAAGGAATAAAGGAGATGAGAGTTTGAGGGAGTTGAGCCAAAATTCATCCAATTCGTGAATTTCAGGTTAATCAGTGTCGACAGCTTGTGGTTCTTCGTGCGCTGAATCTGGCTGGTGGAGAAAACCCAGTGAAGTTCAACAAATGTCTCTCCCGGATTGACATCTTCACTCAAAAATTGCAAGAAACTCCTTGTGACCTCGGAGAATTACTCGTTTTCTAGGAACTTGACATCGCGGCTGATTAAAACCTTCTTCTTGTCCATCGAGAACACTGAACCTTTTAACCTTGGTTCATCGTTGAAGCCCAACAAAATTTCTTCTGTGCCTCGTGGGCCGAACTTGCCTCTGCCAGGTTCCCCGTCCAAGAAGTGCATCTTAATTCCAAAGATCTTCATCTGCGATACGTCTGCTGCCAGACATAGGAGACCCGGTCCTGTTCACCCGTTCGGCTTTCCGTTTTGCTCTGGATTGTATGGCACTTTCAGTCCACGGGTTATTCCACGTTTTTCAGGAAGCCATCAAAATCGACACTCAAATATTCTCGGCCATTATTAGTTTGGAGTTCTTTCAGGCGTCGATCTTTCTGATTCTTCATTCGGATGATACATACACTATTGCCTCGGATACTCCGCTTTGGATTTGAGAAACTTTACCTCACACCAGTGAGAAAAGTCCTCTATAAATTCTACGTAGTACCATGCAACAGATAGTGACGGAGTTTGCATCGGCCCACACACCTACATCCGCGTGAATAAGATCTGCGCCGTCTCTCGTTCTCACTTTTTTGGAAACTGCGATCTCGGCATCTCCTTCACGTAGATATATTTTTTTTATTCGCAGTTTTCTTGACTTGAACACCTGTAATTTTTCAGCCTACAAGATATAGAGCGATTTTTATAAGAATGGGACGTTTTGACAGTGTAGACAACACACTGATGGTTGTTCGGCCGTTGTGTTCTTCAGCCTATTAGACTCTCCTTTCTCCATTCGTTCGTTAGCAGTTGGCTAACTTGTAAATGGCTTCTCCGCTTTCTTTTGTGATGTCATCGTCCGACGAAAATGCAGTGCGCCACGACAAATAATTGAAATTAGGAAGTGCTGTGCTATGTGAAAAAATTGTTTTTATAAACATTACATTGAAGTTAGTTTTTGTGTGATAAGTATTATTTTATTTTAAAACAGTATTGAATGTAAGGTGTGTACTGATGGCGGTGCCCGTGTTTTCGGCTCCTGTGATGTGAGGTGGAACGTTGTGTTCGAGAGCGTTTCTTGGTATATATATATATATATATATATATATATATATATATATATATATATAGTGACACCGTCGATGCGGTGCGACCCAATACATTTATTTTTTAGAAGGGACAAGTGTCTTGGTTCGTGAATAGCCCTCTGAAGGTTTGACGGGAACATTGAAAGACTCATCATTTTTTTAAACAAACTCTTTATTGCCCAAATCACAAATTTCGTACACCAACTCCGGTTTGATCAATCCCCGTTTTGATACCAAAACTATACATATGAGCTCAGATTACACAATACCTTGAATGCAATAAACCATTAGTTTCTTCTCGGATGCCCCCAGCAGCCACGTCGATCGGCGGCCTTCGGCGTGACTCGGTGCCCTTCGGACGGTCGACCTTCGCTGGGAACCAGGGATCTCGGCCTTCCACAATATTCACACAACACCTCAGTTTCGACCCCGACCGTCGTGAATGTATTTCGGATCGGGCATGCACTAACACCGATATTACTGTCCACCTATCCTTCGTTGGTAATATCAGTTCTCCCTTGTCACGCAACCTACCAGTTCTACTTCGTGAACCTTCTCACATTCACGTGGCAACTTTTCATTGTCGTTACCGGCAATGCGGTCTGTAGTTTTTTTACCTTGTTACATCTCTCGAAACATATTCCTCATCTTCAAGCTTTCACTACTTATTAACTGCCACAATCACACTTAATCCACTCCCTAATATCTTCTCTTCTGTTATTAAACTTCACTTCTTTCATTTTACTTGCCGCACGCATCATTACCGGCTCCGCTATCCTTCGTGTCCTGTTACTCTCTTCGGCCGTCGTCTCGCCGCCTTCTTGCGCCTGACCCGTTCACAGATTTCGTCAGCTACTCGCCACCGTTACCGTGTAATTCAAATACATGTGTTTGAAGAAACGCGGTGCGTTGCAATATATATATATATATATATATATATATATATATATATATATATATATGTGTGTGTGTGTGTGTGTGTGTGTATGTGGTGAAACGGTTGTGAACCATGAAAAGGCAGAGTTGGCGAAAAGGGCATCCTCCTTCATGATTAAGGAATGCATTAACATGCAGAACATTAGTGGCATATAAAACAATTAATTCACATTTAAGTTATGAAATCATAGTATTAAATATTGATAGTCGGGATGTTGTAATCATAAATAAACCACCCTCTTCACTACAAAAACGCACGATCTATTCGCTGTGAAAAACCAGAAATGGTATTTAAACGTACCCTGAACTCATTTTCCTTCTAGTTACTTTCGTTGCAGTTTTCGTTTACAGAATATGAGAACATATTCAAACAGTTATCCACATATGTAATGAAATTTAAATATTTCCCGGACTCAAGTGCGTGAATATACTTCAGCGAAACTCTTAGATTTCTGTATAGTGATATCTTCACGGGGGCCGTAAACACTACGAAAGGGCGTGTCTGAACAGCTGCCTCGGCGGAGGGATACTTCTCTAAATTATACGCCATGTTCACAAAATTGCAAGGCGCCTTTTTCTCCGATCCTTGTAGACGTGGTTGTTTGCCAAGCGAAGATCCCGTCCTCGACTTTCGCTCATTCATTCTGACATTACTTTCGACAGACACAACTGCCAATCTGATCTCACCTAATCACGCCTTATTTACACTGTTCATATAGTTGCGACCACTTCCCAAACTCAAGATTTAGCGATCGTCGGCCTGCCGCCTCACAACACTTCCAAACCTCGTTACCTACTTTGATTTATCTTGCGCTTCGCAGGTTTGTTACACAGCGCCCCTTAGCTTTGCCGCGATCCGGCTTACATGTCACAGATAGTGAAGCTAGAGTACCCTTACAGTTCTTGTTAAATCATACAGCAAGGTGAATAGTTCTTCTCCAAGAAGAGGTGATTATTCACCAATGTTAACTGATACAACAGTCTGTAATGCATAGCTAATTTGCAGTTACGGCTTTGGGAGCTCCAGACAAAGTCTCTGTAAGCAAATTTCTTCACTTTCTGAGTCTTTGGAATCGACGATATTTGCCACAACACTTATTCCCTTGCGCTTGTGAAGTTCCAATAGCATTATATGGAACAATCAGACACCTCAGTCAGTCAGGTTCTGCAGACCAATTAAATCGGAATATAAGGAAACAAGCAAATATACGGACAGATAACCCGTTCTAACAGTTGAACGTGGAGAAAGAAATTCATGAATTCAGCGAATTATTTCAAATTTGGCGCCACGCTTCTCTTTGAAGGCATTTTAGGAAAGACTACGCATTTCAAGTTTCCCGCCGCGAATTCCTTCCCAGTTGACCAAATACTCATTTCTTTGTACTAAGTTCTTTGACATTGATTGACAACTGTTTTCCGAAGAGCCACCAAAAGATCGCATCACTCCTGGGCGGCCGCGACGAAAAGTTTACCAATTGTCATATCTCGGAATCCAATTTTTTCCACATCAGACGCGACGAGCTCGCATTGTCATGAAAATCAGGTGAACCACGAGCAGTTTCGTGGCCATCGTGCACAAAAGCTAAGATCATTTCCGCATTTGTCCTTAAACAGTCCCAGAACTTTTTTATTACGTGATGTTAACCCGAAAGGAATACCGTGAGGAAACAAGGAAGTGTCGAACACCGGTTCACCTGTGTACTCGTTAGTTGAAAAGAAAACGAATAAATCTGTCGCTGTCGAACACCGGTTCACTTGTGTACTCGTTAGTTGAAAAGAAAACGAATAAATCGGTGTGAATGAATGGTTGCGAAACTTCTCATCGCATTCATAAAAGAACTAGTACGTTTTAAATTTGTAAAATTCAAAGACCTAAATAAACGTACCTTATTGAAGGTCATTGGTCTTGCAGTAGATTAGAATATAGGGACGGGTGAAACGACAGTGTACTGCAAACCGGTACAGTGGTATGAAGCGGCCCAAGAAAGGACAATATCTTTTTGGAAAGATTAGAAACCATAAAAGCAACCGAATTGCGAAGGGGTGCGACGCGTCACTCGCCTGCATTGACTCTGGCGAAACCCGGACGCGAGGTCTGCGATGAGACGCCGCGCTCCGTGCTTCCCTCATCACCTGTTCCACGGGTGGATCCAGAGGCGATTTTTGGGGGGGGGATTATAAATATTTTGGTCGAATGTGTCATATTACACACTTTGTAAAATGTCTCTGACTTCACTCGGCTCATCCTGCGATACGATTTTATTCGTTTTAATGAAACGATTACGATTTTATTCGTTTATCCGAAAATATTTTTGCTTGAAAGTTTCGTGACAAAGTAAAACTAAGAGTTACTGAAATGTTTTCGAGGGGGGAATTCCTGTCGTTTCCCTCCCCGTGGATCCGCGCCTGCCTATTCACTACGTAAGCAATTTTACGGTTTCCAGCAAAGAAATGAAGAAAAAGTTTCGGACCACGCTGCTGATCGTGGAGGCAAGTGGGGCGAAGGCGTTTCAAGGAGGATCATAACTCTGTGGTTTGGTAGCAGCTGATGCAATTTATCACGGCAAATGCTGCAAGTTCTTTCGGGAAAAAAGGGCAATACCTTTACCACTAACCAGATGCTCAGCAGAGCAGCACTCCTACACAGTTTATTTATAAGTACAAAACTGATTACAGTACCAGCAGCGTATAAACGACTCTGACAGTTGGATGCGCTGTTGCCACGCATCACGCTCATGGCACCACCCACATGACAGATAAAGTATATATCGAAACAACACTTACTGACTCGTCTTGATATCATGATGACCATAACCTTCGCCACATGTGAATCTTATCGCCTCCGCGACTTCGTGTGTCAGATGAGTGGCAACAATAAACGCTAGCTATAAGAAAGTAAACAAATCCTCGCAAGCTCATTGCTTTAGAGCAGATCACATGAGACACTACAACACATGGCGAGAGAAATGTCAGAGTCGCTTTACGCTGCCGGTACTGTAGGCTGTACAGCTGCCACCTGAGGAATGGCGTTGGATGCGATGCGTCGATGGAACACGCAAGTCACTAATGACAAAGGGTCCGATAGCTCCTAACACGATTTTGAAGTTCGCATTTTGCAAATGTATTTGTGAATGTGGGATGACGTAGGGCCGGTATAAGATTCTCCTCAGTCTGTGCCAGTTGTCAGGGAACCTGCATGAATGGACCTCCACCACAAAATGAACTTAATAATATAAGCGAACAGGATTTCTTACTTTGTTGGTGATTTACATTTCAATATTGTATAAACATGCTCAACATTTTATGAAATGATTAATCTCCAAAAAATGAATACTTTTCGAAATACGTTTATGCACCATTTATGGTGCCTATAAATTCCTAATGTTGCATATTCTCCTATTTATTGATCAAAACGCAATTATCCTTAACCAAAAATTTAAAATAATGTACGTCTTTTCATTTTTATCCTGCGGAGTACAGAGAAATTTCAATACTCTCTACCAGTAAATCCATGTTCCGTTTTACTGCTACTACAGTGCAAGTATTTCATATTCTGAAATACAGGCAAAATCACTGGAGGACTTTTTTACTTTGAATTTTTAAACATTCCCCCCCCCCCTCTAAAACTGCTCCAAACTCTTTCTCCTCATATGTACCTAAGGGCAGTACAAAAATTATGTACCGGTCCCATTGTTTGCAAACTATTAATTTTTTTAAAATTGCAAAAGCACAATAATAAATATGGGGACTTTTGTTTTAAATGAAATGTTCTAAAAAAAGGTGATACATAATTTTTAAAGAAAGAAAACTGTTTAGCATTTCTGCTGGAAATTTCAAATTACGAAAATAATTCTAAAAACACGCTACTATGTTCTTAACTTTTTTTTTTTTTTTTGTGTGTGTGTGTGTGAAGGGATACTTAAAAGAATGGCAGAGATCTCATTTTCAGTGAACACTGAATTTTTGAAAGTTGCAAATGTCAATATTTTAAGAAATAATGCAGGAAAGTATTTGCTGTTGTTGCTCCATAAGTTGTGTTATGCAAGGTAATTGAATTTCTATGAGGATTTGACAGAATAGTGATGAAAGCAAACATTCCATTAATGTAACTATATTATATTATCTTCAGAAACTTGCTAAACAAGTACATAAATAAGGATAAGAAAAATTGATAGTGCCAATTTTACGATTTTTAAGTGCTCATTTCTGCAGATTCTCGCCTTAAACCCGCAGCTTAGTAATATGTACCCTAAATTTACTTTGTTACACAGAACACCTTAAAAGAAACATCTTCACTATGAAATACCATTATTAAAGTTGGTTTCTGAACTTTTAATTCAAATTCACTTTCTTTCCACCCTCGCCTTCATTTACAGGCTTTTGGTATCTTAATTGTAACTTTTTTTAGTACTGATTCCCCCTCTCCCTGATATGGTCATGCTGTATGTTTCATAACTAAAAGGACCATACAAAAGGGACATTTGAAATAAAGTAATTTTTAGAAAAAAAGAATCAAACATACATTTATTGAATATTTGTTGAGAACAACATTAACACTGGTTTTGACAATCTACTGCAGTCTTTAAAATATTCGCAGTTGGATTGACTTAAATGGAATTGGTAATTTGTTTCACATTTCTACATTTAACTAATGAATATAGATTCACTTTCCAGAGGCAAATTTCTGAAGATTTTCTAAGAGAGCCAGGTAACAACTGTGCTCGTAAGCAGTGCTCAGGTCTGACAATTTTTCAACAAATTCATTTGAAATGCCTTTCTCTTCCAAGATATTCATTAGCAGATCATACAGGTACTGCAACATAAAAATATTGTGAAAAATACATGACAACATTTTAAAAGACAACTGGTATGATAAAGCTGCCCAAAGCATTACTTACCCCATCTAATACATCTCCAGCTACTGCATATGTTTGTTCAGACCATTCTCCATCATAGAGTGTAACCTCATCAATGCCAAAGACATCATCTACAAAAGTTTCAATAAACTTCAGCTAGGTATAAGCTTATGTACTATAAACATTTAGTGAATTACCACGAAAACACAGAATACTTTAGTCAAAGATATACTAGACTTAACCCTTTGACTGCTATAGCCATGCTCAGAGTAGGCCAAGCAGTGCCAACCTGCAGTAACTTATAGATGATGTAACAAGTCCATTCCGAACCGAATGCAGACACACAGAAAACTTTGAATAACTCAACCATTAAAAGACAAGTAACTAAGTAATTTTCACCTATTATCGCATAAGGAATAAGTATGATTTCGGACAAACTAAGTCAGCGACCTAAAAAGAATAAAGAAAGGCAAAGTATAATTCTTAAAAGCAGTACTTGGCATTGGAAAAGCAGTGCCTTCCAGACTAGCATATATACTCGCAAAGGAGACATACTAAATTGAAGATCTTTGACTACTACTACCACATACAGATGCAATCAGCAAGCTACTCTTAAGACAGAAAAGAGAAACAACAGCAAGTACCTAACTTCTACTCAACGGGTGCATTGATAAACTGGAGTTCGGACAAAGCAAATCAGGGACAAAGAAATGTAGTGGTGCGATTTGAAATTCATGGCTTCCACTATAAGTGTGCAAGAACAAAGAACTTTCATAGCCTGGTAGAAGCATGTGTCTGTGAACTGTGTGGAACAAAATGTGAACGATACTACCTAGAAATTTGTACAAAGAGCAATTAATATCTGAGCCCATACAGCAAAGAGTAAAGAACATTTAATGCCCACTTGGATGAACCTTCTAACTTTATTTAAAAGCTTAAATGAAAGACTAAAGAAAACATGACCCTAAGAGCATCCTCAGTATTCCACAGGATTGAAAACTAATCCTTGATAGGGAAGTGTCTGTGGGGCTATAAATTTCTTTTTGTGAAGTAGTCCCTGGTGACTCAGACTTCCCAACTTTCCTTGAAGCTCACTCTAGCGATGCACACAGAATTCAAGAAACTAACTTTGACGAATCTATGTCAGTACTGAACCAGACAATAAGCATTAGTGTTGTAGCAAAACCCCAAACTCACTCATAGAAATGAGATCAGCAAATCAGAACAGCATCAACATGTCAAGTCAGTAAGCTGAACTATATGTAGGTACAGCTAAAGTCATCTGAGGAATCACTTAGCCCTTGCAAAAGATATAAGAACAAAAATGGCCTCATGTCTGTACACATCCACAGGTTCCCAACGTCAGCCAGACTGCACAAACCAACTTGCCCAGACGCCCTCAGGCACAGAAATGATGCATGGCAAAGTACATGTCAACACGTCTAGAGCAGTCAAAAGGATAAGAGGTTCTGGAAAAAGTATCCACATCTGAATCAAAGGATTAAAAAATTGCAACTAGCACAAAATCTAACAAACAATAAACCAAAAAATTGAAAGGAATGAAGTGCTAAAATTAATTAATCATGAGTCTCTTAATAAATACAATGAAGTCATCCGAACATAAACAAAATCTTACTGCTATAACCTTCTTGTGGTGTTTGATCAGCATTGAAAGAGCATGTGAATCCGAGAGTCCTATTTCCTCGCTGAATATCAACTTCAAAATTTGGTTTTGATCTCATGTCAGCAAATTCTGGTTTGTCCATGTTAGGATTTAATTCTGGTTCACTCTCTGCATCCACAGTGTGGTTCACATTGAAGAAAACTGTAATTCTACCAAAAAAAAAAAAAAATTGAGTGAAAACTACTTTTGTACATCATGAATCTTAAAATTTATTGTTTACTTAAAAAAAGTCTTGAAAATGTTACTTCTCAGGTTAGAAAAAGGCGGCTAAAATGTAGCATATGGTACAACCTAGGGAAGTCGTTTAAACCGTCACTTCAAGCCGTTCCCGCGTTAACTAGGCAGTTAGAAATCTGGAGACTTCTTTGAAAAGCGCTTTCTTATAAAAGTGAATTGGTTATTATGTGTTGGATAGACTCAAGGATGTTTATAGTGAACACGAGGGCCGAAGGCCCGAGCCTCGCCATGACTTGGATCCGGACAAATGAAGGAAGAAAACTTGCCCTTGAAAGTAAATTGGCGTTACAATGCAGTGGGGACAAAGCATATAAAGGGGGAACCATGAAAATAATCTATTTGCAAGTTTTACTCATTTCTATTAAAGCACGTACAGTAATTAGGGCCTAAGCCCCGCCGCCACGCTTCTCTAAGGGTGCACCGTATACTAAACTTTAACCAAAAAGGCCTTTGGCAGAATCAATGTACCCATTTACAGTAGAACTCGTGTAAAATTATATTTCAACAATTGACAAACAAAAGTGTGTAAAGTACATATTTCAGAATTAAGCAATAAATAAATTTTGCCTTCTGCAGTGGGCAATTATAACTTACTTCTCATCACCACTTTTCTTTGTTAATGTGACTTCACTACCATTCAACTCAACTTTAAAATCCTCCACTTCTGTTGGAATTGTTTTAACCTTTTGAAGTTTTTTTTCTGCAGCTATTTCTTCAGTAAGAAATTCAACGAGCTCTTTTTCACCTACAAGGATAGTAATTGAATATATATATTCTCATTAATATAATAAATTTTGAATTTATTTAATTTCACATTTACTTTCATACCAATATTTTCATGCAATCTCTTAAATTCACGTTCAAAAATCTAATTTGTTTTTGAGACAAAAACTAGTACAAATTAATAACAAGTGAAAGGTATTTTGAAAGCTACTGAATTGGTTTAATTATATCAGGTTTAAATACATTTCATTTCAATATGATGCGATTAGAATTGTGTTCCAAACTAGAATAGAACTTTGGTAGTAGCGCTTTGTTTTAGTTAACCGGCATCAAACACCGGTGAAAACAAACTGTGGATGAGACAATGAATTATTACTTTCCAAAATGTACGCAACCTTTTGTGTGTAGTCGTTGAATGCCACAACCGCAACCGCATGCAAAGCTATGATGCACTTTTAATCCAATTTCATTATCTCTTCTGGGAGACCACATGCTCCAAAGAGTGCGTGTGAACTGTAATTTGGTTGCATCGAAAACTTTGTTTACTGGAACTCTCGCATGGTAAGCCACACTCGGCAAATACTTTAATGAGGAAGCTCTAATTGCTGCTTTCAAAATCGAGTTCATTTTTACACTACTTGTAAACGATCACAGGAAAATATAACCCGCAGTAGCCTTCTGCTCGCTCACGCCTCACTTTAGCCTTCCCTATCGTTCGGTTAGCAATGATGCAGCCAACCAAAGAGTATATACAGCCAACTTATGAGGACTGTATACATCACTATAATACGCCGATTATTCGAGAACATTAGACTCTATTTTCAATTTGCGATAAACTACGTTCGCCATAATATCAAGGATGTTCAGCTAAAAATAATATGAACTTGTTAAAATTACGTTTAAAGCAATAAAGTACAAAATAAATACTTCAGAAAAATAAAATAGAATGATTCTTTACTTTGTTCGACAGAGAGCATTACAGTAGTATTGGAGTGATTGGAGATTGTGAAGAAAAATCAAGTAAATATGTTTATTCTATGGAGTGTTTGCATCGCTGTGGTTGGCAGTGGTCAGACCGGGTCAGGAGCAGTGATTCTGGCGTGTTATTGCGATTGTGTTTGGGTTGCCATATATTTCTGGAGGTTGTGAATTATTTTACTGTGAAATAGAGATATATTATTGCCCATGATTTGTACAACTTGACCGCCCTGGGGCTAAGAAGTTTCTATGGCATCAGGACTGGAAAGTTACATTAATCGTACTGTATCCATCATTACTTCTGACGGCAGAAACTTCGTCGGTACACTTAAAGGATACGATCAGACAATCAATCTTATTTTGGACGAAAGTCACGAGAGAGTGTACAGTAGCACTCAGGGTGTTGAACAAGTCGTTTTGGGACTTCACATTATTCGTGGTGATAATGTGGCCATTATTGGAGAAATAGACGATGCTCTAGACAGTCGTTTGGATTTGAGCAGCATCCGTGCGGAACCTTTGAATGCTGTTGTACATTAAGGAAGTATTTTTATAATTAAATAAGGTAAGTTTCACGATTACACCAATTAGTCTCAATAGGACTAGGCGGGCCTAGGACTAGTGACGCCTCTTGATGGCGACAATGATGGCGGCTGTACACAAACGTAGTGTGTTCGTTTGCTTGCATTTTGGACAATTCTAAATATACAGTGATATCGGAGTATTTTCTTTGCAGTTTGCCACCTGTTTGCGTTGGTATTTGGTATGTGCATAGTGTTGAAGATTGTTAGAAAATATATAGTGGTAGAATTTAATGGGACTTCAGAGTGTCTCATGAATAAATGAGTGGAAATTAAGTTCAGAAGTTAAGTAATGGAGTATTATGCTAACAAGACAGATGCACCTTTAACTACGAAAAAATGAATCGGCTAAATTTTAAAGGTTCTAACATTGCACAAATATGTTGGGTGATTCAAAACAGAATACCAATTTAGGAACAGTTTCTTGATAAAGAATTTGGAGTGCTGAAGGCAAGTTATTACTGGCCCTAGAGTAATTACCTCTCCAGCCTGGTATTGCTGAAATAGATAGGTGTGAGGTTAGAATGTATACTTACAGCCAAATTAATGATTTATAACATTAAGAGTAGTAACTAGATTCTTTGCAAGCACAGTCGGCGAACATCACAATGTGTCGATGGTAGTATAAACCCAGAGAGTATCTTTCTACCCGCCATAATTCAGAAGGATGGTTTAAACCATTTCGTCTTTTTGGGCTCTTCAGACTGAGATACATGCTCCTCCCGTCAGAAATGTTACACAACAGAGGAATTATCCAAATATGAGCAGACTTATGCCGAGCAAGTTAATTAGCTTTTGTCACTGTATCAGGAAACTGACATTTCAGACAACCATGACCATTGTTCATATATTTAATGATCTATTCTGAAAACATGGCTTGTTTAGTTTGTCAAATGTAATACAGTAAACCTGTTTCCAAAATCCACATCAAACCACCATTACTTAATAGGTTTTGATATGACTGAAATTAGACACACACGTCTGAGATCATACTATGCTTTATTCTCTGAGGCACTGTCATATTTATTCCGGAAAGATTAGTGTTTTATTCTTCATGAAGATCAACTTTTTGGGCTGTATCCAACGATTAAACAAGGTTGTTAAACTTGTGAATTATGAAGTGATAGGATGAAGGGCCAATTATAATTGCATCCATTGTTATGCAGGATACTGCTGCCTCTACAGTCTGCACCATGGGGGCTGCTTTAGTTTTTAAAATTTTATTTTAAATAATTTTAATTGATTTCTATTTGTTTTGGGATAAAATTTTAGTTTCAATAGTAGGTATAATGAAATTAAAATCCACAGTTAACTAAAACTTTCCTCCTCAAAAATTGCCACTAAAAGCTCCCCCATCCCATCCCAAACTTTGCAACACTGAGTTAAGACATAATATTGTTGAATACGTATATTGATCATGCATAGATAAATAAAATGTCTCAAATTCATATGTTTAAATGGTCATTGAAATATTTTTTGCATTATTTTTAGCCATCATCATGGCTCTTCCACCATACCTATTGGGACCCCATCCATGGGCCACTATGATGGCCCAACAGCAAGCACATGCCCAATTGGCTGCTGCTGCACAGGCTCAGGCACATGCTCAGGCACAGGCTCAAGCCCAGGTTGCTCATGTACAGGCAGCACAAGCTGCAGCACATGCACAAGCTGCCCATGCTGCAGCGCAGGCCCATATGCAGGCTCAAGTGCATCAGGTGCACCACCATCCAGGTCCTTTGGCACCTCCACAAAAGCAGCTGGAGATCATTACAGAAGAGAAGCTTCAAGAGAAAGGTAGGTCTTTCTAGTGAAATAAGTGATTTGTTTCAAGTTGGTGAAATATATTATGCCTCCCAAAGTTTCAGAATTGATAGTTTTCCAGCATAGGTAATTTTGCTGGAAATGTCGAAGTTCGAGATCTTTTTTCTTTCATGCCATATAATCATCAGGAGACATGGTAATTTTTTGCTCCATAACAATCCATTGACTCTGGCTTAGTTTGTGCTATCAATTTGCGATTTGTAGCATGACTGGACCACTTCTTAATAAGAACTGAGTCTGCAAATTAGCAAATTAACACATTGTTCTAGATTCAGAAGATTTTTCATTTCACTTTGTAAATTTCTCTTGGAATGCCTGTGTAGATCTGTATCAATAAAATTTGAATTGCTCAGGATGTTGGAGTTGTTCTCTCCATTTGTTGATAAATTATGCGAGGTGCCACCCATGGAGCTAACTTCAGTATGTTTATTATTCCGTTAATGTATTATCAATGAAAGTTGTACTATCCAGAATTTTGGTGTCATTTACCAAACTGTCTGATATCACTCTCATTTTGTGCTACTTTAGAAGAAAAAAAATAAATGCAATATTTTTAAAAAGGTTTTAACTCCAGGCCTGCTGGCACAACAATTTTGTTAATTCGAATTGCATATAGAACTTATTATGACTGTATATAGCATTATTTTTGTTCTATTTCAGCCCAAAAATGGCAGCAGTTGCAGTCGAAAAGATTTTCTGAAAAAAGGAAGTTTGGATTTGTTGATGCACAGAAAGAAGATATGCCACCTGAGCATATACGTAAAATAATAAGAGATCATGGTGATATGAGTAGCAGAAAATATCGGCATGATAAAAGAGTTTATCTTGGGTATGCTTTTCCCCTCATTTTTTTTTTCTTTTCTCTCTCTTCTTCTTCCATTGACTGTGGAATTAATGTTAGATGGTTGTAGTAAATAGAGTTGTAATGACTTTTCTCATTTCAGAGCTCTGAAGTATATGCCACATGCTGTGATGAAACTTTTGGAGAATATGCCCATGCCTTGGGAACAAATCAGAGATGTTAAAGTATTGTATCATATTACTGGAGCCATAACATTTGTGAATGAAATTCCATGGGTGATAGAACCTGTGTACATTGCTCAGTGGGGGTAGGTCTTGAAATATATTTTTTTGTTATCCTTATTTTATTCTATATAACTTATACTTTTAATATTGTAATATTACTATAAAACTTTTAAAATTGTTTTCCTATTTTGGTTAGTACTAAATTGTAATGTTTGTCCTAACAGATTCGTGTAACAATTGTAAAAATATTTATTGAATATTTTTGTTGTGTAGAATAATTTAGGGAGGTAAACAGTTTGTCATTCCATTACCCTAAAGATGAAAACAGTCAAAATATTGCAAAACTTTTTGGGTGAAGCTGTGTAGTTGGCAATTATTTGACTGATTTGGAATCAGAGGCAGCTAAGATAATATTGGATAATGATGTGGATTGCGAATGCCTTAATTAATGTTCAGGACTTTTGTGATGTTCTACAGAAGTGTGCTATGTAAGGAAATATTGGCCACACCTAAAATTTATTTTCTCTCTTGCATTTGCTTTCCTTTTATAGGACAATGTGGATTATGATGCGTCGAGAAAAACGTGATCGCAGGCATTTTAAAAGAATGAGATTTCCTCCATTTGATGATGAAGAACCTCCTTTGGATTATGCTGACAATGTTCTTGATGTTGAACCTCTGGAAGCTATTCAGATTGAGCTGGATCCTGATGAAGATGCTTCGGTCATAAAGTGGTTTTATGACCATAAACCACTTGTTGGTTCAAAGTAAATATTATATCATATCATTCTGTTATTGATAATGGAATAGGTTTACTTTTGAATTTACATCTAATGAACAATCAATTTTTAAGGCATATCAATGGATCAACATATAGACGTTGGAATCTTACACTTCCTCAGATGGCTACATTGTATCGTTTAGCCAACCAACTTTTAACAGACTTGGTAGACTCTAATTTCTTTTATTTATTTGACCACAAGTCCTTCTTCACAGCGAAGGCTTTAAATATGGCCATTCCTGGGGGACCCAAGTTTGAACCCCTCATTAAGGATTCAAATCCAGCGTGAGTTTATTTGAAGGTTTTAATTATTAATTCATGATTAACATTATATATTTTTTTATTTAAAATCTTCTTTTGTAGGGATGAAGACTGGAATGAATTTAATGACATTAATAAAATAATAATTAGACAACCAATTAGAACTGAATACAGGATTGCTTTCCCTTATTTGTATAACAACATGCCTCATTATGTCCATCTTTCATGGTAAGTCATTAGCCTGTGGTGGTCTTAACTATTTCAGCTGTTAAAAGTGAAATTTTCCCACATTAAGTTTTAGTAGTGTACTACAGTATTTTACACTTCTACTAGCTGTGTGGCAAAGTAATTTGTGATGATATTAGATGCTCTTTAAGATGATAAGAGTATTTGCTGAGATCACAAACAGGTTTATTTTAAAGTGTTTGAAAATTATTTTTATGAAAGCACATCAATTGTTTTAAATTTTCATTTTTCTTTGCATTCAATATAAGAGAAAAAAATTATGAAAATTTATTTCTAGGTATCATGCTCCAAATGTAGTATACATCAAAACTGAGGATCCTGATTTGCCTGCGTTTTATTTTGATCCTCTTATTAATCCTATTTCACATCGCCATTCATTAAAGGTAGGCATATATATTTTTGCATTGATATTGTATTGTTCTTTGTGATCAGTGTTTATCATATTTTTTGGTTTAGGCTGCTGAACCTTTGCCAGATGATGATGAAGAATTTGAGTTGCCAGAAGAAGTACAACCATTTCTTCAGGAGACTCCTTTATATACTGACAACACTGCCAATGGGATTGCTTTACTGTGGGCACCCCGGCCTTTTAATATACGTTCTGGTGAGTAAATTTTATAAATATTTTTTTAAGTTGTTTTGCAAAATATGTAAGCAGTTGTTCTTTAAATTGTTTTGAGTATATCAGTTAGTGTGATAATTGTGATTATGCACACGTTTCTTAAGGCCGAACAAGAAGAGCCATTGATGTGCCATTGGTTAAATCATGGTATCGAGAGCATTGCCCGCCTGGTCAGCCAGTGAAAGTGAGAGTTAGTTATCAGAAACTCTTAAAATATTTTGTCCTGAACGCTTTGAAACACAGGCCTCCAAAACCTCAGAAAAAGAGGTAAGTATGAATACGTATGAAGAGGTACGTACATTGTATTATGAATTTGAAAATTTTAGTTTAATTATAGGAAATATGTTGAGTTAAGGTCAGTCTTGAGTTACTTTTAGCTTTTATGAAGCCTTCTGCAAAACAGAAATTATAGTTTATGGAGGTATCAAATTTGATCACCTGCCAACTAGTAATTTAGGCTATTTTTTCAGTTTTAAATTTATAAATTTTTGAATTTGACCACGCGTAAAGTTGGTAAGTTAGTCCATACAGATTACAATTTGTAAAAATATATTGGTAGGTGTTTAAAATTGTTTCTACATAAACTGTAACTTGCTTGTGTTTTAGCCTTAACAAATATTGGCAATTGATGAATGTTTTCTTGTATGACCACAAGAAACGAAATTATTTCTTATTTATGAATTAGGGTCAACGAGAAGCTATCGTGTTGTAATTTAGATTAAAAGATGCATTTTACTGCATAAAATTTGAGTTTGAGATTATTAGTTACAAATATTTATCTGGCTCAGCTTTGATATTGATTTCTTGTTAATAAACCTTAAGATATCAGTTTCTAAGACAAATTTGTTATGTAGGTATCTCTTCAGATCATTTAAGTCAACCAAGTTTTTTCAAACGACAACCCTAGATTGGGTTGAAGCAGGTCTTCAAGTCTGTCGTCAAGGTTACAACATGTTGAACCTCCTTATTCATCGTAAAAACTTGAATTATCTTCACTTGGATTACAACTTCAACTTGAAACCTGTGAAAACTCTTACCACTAAAGAGAGAAAGAAATCTAGATTTGGAAACGGTATGTTATCAAAAAGTATTTCATGTTATATAGTCTTGTGTATTTTTTGTTATACATTATTCCTTTGTTTTTTTGCTGTAGCTTTCCATCTATGTCGTGAAATACTTCGGCTTACAAAACTGATTGTGGACTCCCATGTTCAGTATCGACTGAACAATGTGGATGCTTTCCAGTTAGCTGATGGTATTCAGTACATCTTTGCCCATGTGGGTCAACTTACTGGAATGTACAGATACAAGTATAAACTGATGAGACAAATACGAATGTGCAAGGATTTGAAGCATCTCATCTATTATAGATTCAATACAGTACGTAACGTTTTGAAGTATCTTCTTGATTTAGAAGTAAGATGGGTCTTAAAAGATGTGATTTGAACCATTCTCTTAATGTCTATTTTTTGTTTTCTGGTGATTGTGTGCCATGAATGTCATATCATTCAATCCATTCAGATTTTCTGTGAGAAAGAATGAAACTTCAATGTTTTTACTTGTACCAAAGATGAATTATGTAGGTGATGTGAAGTTGGCCATTAATTTGTGTACACAGTTGCTTCAATATTCTCATGCTATCTGAGATGACTACTAGTGACCAGGTACTGGGAAGGTTGGTTCAATTGCTACTCTTACAGGTATTCATTGAATGTGGATGAAGACTATTGTAAGCAAGATTTAGTCAAATTTGCAGCTAATTTACATACTACCATATGTACTCAAATATAACTTGCATATTTTTAAAAAAAAATGCTGGCTGTATATTGGAGTGCGGGTATTATTTGAGTCAATGTTGTTACCGAGAACTTGATGCCTCTTGCACGTGGTTACATGGCAGCATGGGTTATACTTAGGTTTTTATAACGTGGCGCATCAGGGCCTGTCTTAATGATGGAATCTCTCATTGCATTTCATGTCTTTCTTAGCCTGTACTAGGTATTGCATGATCGCCACTGTATCAAGCACTGTGTAATACACCGGACGTAAGCAGCACGATGAAAAAGACATGTAATGCCTGGCATAATGCCACTGTAAAGACAGGCCTTGAGGCACAGCTTTATAAAAATTGCACACTAAACCGTGTTAATCGGCGGGCCTTTCAAGAACAGAAATTTTTGCAATAAAAGGGAAAAAATTTGAAAGATCCCCCCCCCCCCCCCCC